AACAATCCAATCCCTGAGTCACCGAAGTCAGCACTTAGGGTTAACTCCATTAGTACGTCTCTGATGAAATGAATTGAGATGGCGATAGTGGGCATTCTATACGGACACCACTACTTGTCACCACTTCAGATGACAACTCAACGTTACCTCTCACTTGACTGGCTGCATGAGTTCGAGTAGAGTGCATTGACCAGTGCAATGTATTTTCTCGGCATTCGCTTCACAACTAAACGTCGCCATAGTATCCTCTTGGTCGACGGAATCGAATGCCACCTCTAGGTCAATAAATGTGACGATTGTTGGACGCGGACAGCAAGTATTCCTCTGTTCTAGAATCTATCGGAGGGTGAAGATATGAGCATTGCATCCTCTTACTCGTCTAAAGCTTGACTGGTTCTCCTGCGTTTGAACCATCCGTGGACCACTTGGTCTACGCATTATTATTTAGCCTGGAACTTTAGATACCATATTAGTCAAGCTAACACCCCTGTGATTATCACAGGGAGACTTGTCTCCCTTCTTGTCTATGGGGATAATCAGTGGGACTTCCTCTGATTCCCAGACGCTGCCTAGTACCTTAGTTAACGCAGACAGTAAATTGTCTCCACCGTACTTAAATAACTCTGGAGTCATTCGGTCAGGTCTCACAGCTCTGATTCGTTTCAGACTAGCGACAGCGTTAGTAACCTCAATTAGAGACGGATGGCCTGTGCCTATATCACATTCAGGGTGGTGTTGGATGTTCGGCAGGTTAAGCGTGGCTGCGGGCCAATTAAACTACTCCTCATAATGTACCTTCCAGCGTTCCAGTCGTCTATCCTGAGAGCTAATTATGGTGTCACTTTCCAGAGATTGTCTCACTTATCATATGCCTTTCACCACCTGTTTCCCTGATAAGTCTAACTACTTGTGTGGTATTACCAAACGTCAATGCCTTTTTATCTCTTTCGCTTTTGTTACCCACCACTGTTCACTGTCGTTTTGGAGACTTCCTGTTAGTTTGCGTTTGAGCAGCTTTCGCTTCTTGTATTAATCGGAGCCCACCGGAACCAGCCTTCTTGCGGATGAGGAGGCAGAAATCCAATGGCTTTTACTAACTTTGGATTTTAGGTTATTAACAGCTTTTACAGCTGTATCTACAACTAAGCCAAAGTTGTGTCAGCTTTCTTCAGAAGGAGTCCTGCTGTCGACCTCAGATACTAGTTCCGCCATTTCTTCCTTAAATAGGGACTCAGGGTCTTGATCTAGTTAGGAACATAACTACTTCGCTGCCAACAATTTTTACGTCCGTTTAGACGTAAGTATAAATGTGCGCGGATCAGAATCTACGCACGTGTTCCGAAAGGATCGGCACTCTTCTACTGACCCTCGCCGACGATACCCTATGGCTATGTAGTCTGTCTGAGTCCGACGTTGATTTGGTGATGGAGATCGCCAGATTACGCAGTGTCTCTCTTTGTGCCTCAAGTTAGTGGTGACCAGGAACAGATGATTATCTGGACAGAACTGCAGAAGACGATCACCGTTGTCGGTTCATCGCCAGGGAACTCAATACGTGTCATCAACACACTTCTCAGTCCTGCACAAATTCCCTACTTGGGCATTGAAGTGACCTGCCGAAACAACTATATCTGAACATTTTGCTTTATGCAGAAAATTAGACAATTTCGGGTAGAATTCATCCTTTCGTTCATCCGAACTGCAGTCTGTTGGGGCGTAAGCGGAGACTACTGAAAGACAACGACGGGTAACGCGGTCCTTCCTTCTTCTAACGGATCTGTTTAGACGGACCGCACACATGCGACTATCTACTGGGATCCAGTCAAGAATCGATTTTTATGCGCTAAAACTCAATGCTATCCCTACACCTGTGAGTACTGGAGAACTAGCTGAGGGATCTCCTGTCCTATCTCCTATGTTCTGCCCTTGAAGCAACTGTTGTATACGCTGGTTTTCTGATATAAAGGGGAGTTTTATAACCTCTCACTTAAGCACTGTGTTTAGTTGCTCGTTTCGGGGTCACGCACCACTTTGATAATCTCATAACGTAAGTGAGAATACATGCTAGGTGGTTTTAATGCTATACCGACTAGAGTAGTTTTAAAGTCAGTTTCTACGTTTGGCATGTGAGACGTAATAATGAATGACAGTAGTGAGCAAATTGATACGTACCAGAGGAGAAAAAAAGACAAATCCGAAAAACAACCGAAAACAAAACAGATGTATAGACGGAAAAGAAGGCAGAATGTGAACAGAAAAAGTGCAAACCAATTTAGGAACAGACTTTTCCGTCGAAATGATTACTCAAATTACTGACCGACAACCTGTAATATTGTAAAAGACCAATGGTGTTTACGAACCTTTATTTCCGAAAGCACAACAAAAAGTAAGTGAGGCGGGGAATGCATATTCAAACAAGCGTAAGGATGTTCATCATTCAAATCATAAAGAAGATACAGACCCTACTTGGTTGCTGGCTCAATACTTTTGAGTTCCTTAGTCACTCACACCATCTGAGTGGCCATATAATACCGTGTTGTAGAGGCTCTGCAATAGAGTGCTTTCATCGACAATGGGAAGCTTCAGTAACATCTTTTTTTAAGCCCTAGTCACTGTATGGAATTCTTCTCAGAAGTAAGAACAACAACATAACTGAGATACCAGAATTTTCAAAATACAAGTCCAAACAAAAAGTAAGCACAGGTACCAAAGATTAAAACAAAGCTGAAAAACGATTTGACTTCATCATTGAAGTATCCTGAAGTAAACATTAGGTTGTACAGAGAAAGCTCATGATTGTGTTAGGATGCGAAGTCACACCTTTTCGCAATGGCGTCCTACACCAATTGACGACGCCATCTATAGGATTATCTATAACTGCAGAAGCCATTATACATTTTTGGCAGTGGTTAGTTGAATTATGAACTTAAAAACTATGCATTTATTCATTTTTGTTTTATAATTCAGTTAGTTTTCTGCTTCCTTTAAATTTCGTACCAACAAACAAGTCGACTGAACAAATTTCTACTTGTCTCTCATCTTACCATCATCTCATGAAAAGTGGTTGGTTGTTCAGTAATATATTTATGACACAAATAGTGTCAAATAGCGTAAAGAAATAAACAAAATATTATATAAGACGTTTGGTAATCTGCATTTCTTTAGCTATTATGATTTCTGAATTAGTTGCACGCCTACCCTCGTGTAATTTACTGGATACAACATCCGATTCCAAGCTTTTATGATCTGAGGAAAAAGATGTAGACATAGAGTATGTTTAGGAGAATGACGGAAGCTGGTATCTGGGCTCACTAGTTTAAGCGATGCTGACGTTTACGCAAAGAAGTATGTGTACTAACGTAAGTTCGTATTACCCAACTCCTACATTATTTGTTCTGCTTGGACCAAAGTGAAACCACAGAATTGATCATCAAAAATATGAGATTAATTTTTGGATGTTGTAACAGCACATAGTGATTACATCTCACATAGCTTGCATTTTTGTGGATTTGATTTTATATTTATATTGGACCAACACATCCCACCTCTATTCTCATCTTGGATACTAGTACAGACGCTTCAACGAAGTCTAGGGATCGATATGTTATTTGGTGGAAATAATATTAGATTCATTCTACGGTACAAGTGCTGATTACCAAAAGTGACTCACTTGGGATTCACATTCAGTGCGAAAGTTCACTAAAGTGGGTTAATCTTCTCACCCATTTAAAGTTTGAGAATTGATTCATGTCTTCCTCCAATACGTGATAAAGATGTCTATCTCTCAAAATACCAGCTATTCTGAAGGAACTAGCTACTAGATAGTTCGATTAACCTTTTGCCCTCATACTCACCTTATACCGATCAATTTGAAAGTCAGAGTTACTACAGTCTTCCACCAAAGTTTCCTTTGCTTTCACCCTTCGCAAGCATACTTCAATATCTTTAGAGAGGTCCCAACATATGCGCTCTTATTCCACCCTGACAGTGAACATAGCGCAAGGCTACATGGCTACGTCATGCAACGATTCAGTGATGCGCCTGCTGCTGGCATCTTGGAATTTATAAGCAAAACAATGGGACCTGACTTTTGTCCGGACAAAGCCTTCCCACTACACATCTAGGTTTTGTAACATCCAATATGCTGATCCTCAGATATCGCCAAGGGTTCGCAATAAAGAACTGCCAACATGTTAACAGTGACTGAACATTTTGGTTCAATATAACCATCAATCAACAACGGGAAGTACAAAATTATACTAAAACAACAAAATCATAGGTGATAGTAAAGAATAGACACCAAAGCCAAGTAACCCCGAAACAACAACCGTTGATCGCTCAGCATTCCAAATGGATGCTTTTCATAACCTTCGTTGTAAATTTTCACTCTGACCCTGAATCAGGATGAAACTAACAACGAAGATAGTGAAAAGCATCCATCTGGAATGCTAAGCAATCTGATTGGCTGGTTCAAGGTCAATTTGGCCGTGGTGTCTATTCTTTACTTTTGCTCAAATCATAATTCATACCTGTTGCACAGGGGTGGCTATCCTGGCCCAAGTGTATAACGTTTTGGCGTTTTAAAGGATGGATGCTAGGTTCAAGACTGAGCGGGAATGCTAGCGTATCCAACTGACGAGTCCGAAGAACAGAACAAAATTAACATCCTCAACTCCAGTACTAGTCACCATCCACCAAAATAACAAAAGTCTATGAATTAATTTACAAGACATTTGCATTTTATTATCACACATAGTTAGTTATCAGTTTATTATAATGTATACTGAAATAAAAGAATGAACATGATACACAAAAAGTTGTATATCATTAGAAAATAAGTTAATCCATCTGTTATCATATACACACATATACATACTGTCTTTGTCTGCTTTTCTGTGCATTTTGATATACAAGGAGAAGGGATTCACCGAAAGACACGTAAACGTTAAAGTAAACTAAAGAGGAGGAAAAGCATCCAAACAATTTATTCGTTTATTCACAGAAGTGCTGTAAATACGCTGGTCGATCGATGACGTTTTAAACTTGGAGGACTTAGCAACGCGGAATGCGGTTTAATCATGTCCATTGAACGTTTATGCTGAAATTGAAAATATGGAAGAAAAGAAACGCAATAATTAATATATGCGGGCAGAATGTGAGTCTCGTCTTCTCTAGGCCTCATCAACTAAATTTATTGGCAGAGATAAACGCAGTGCTTGAAACTTAATTGAAGACCTACGACAAGAGAAATCGCTATTCGACTGGACACAGTTGCGTAACGGCTCAAATTACAATATACCATATTAGGATAGCAAAGTGAAAGGTAATAAGAGAGTGAGGGGGGTGAAACACAATGTAATGTCAGAGATCGGAGAAGCAGATCAGTAAACCAAAGGCTAAGAAGTTTACAATGCATCTACGCCATATCATTTAGAGATATTTGTTCCTGTTTGACAGGTAGAAAGATCTGGTGGGTACTAGTTGAAAGCGAAATAAAAATCTGGGTTACGACTGCAGCATTCAAACCAGCCGACGCCTCCGAATTACTGAATCAATGCTCTGCTAACTGAGATACCGCTAATCATGCGTGAGGATGGACAGATAAGAGCGTATGAGGTAACTCTAAAATATAGCGATCGAAACCAAAACTACTCAATAAAGACCACGGAAAATCTCTATCGATCAGTCACATGAGTCCGAGATAAAAGCAAATAATTTAGAAAATGTTAAAGAAATAATTACGTACGGTAGCGTTCCTGTATGTGTTGCAAGGAAACCTCCCAATTTCCCACTAGAGTCCTTATCGATAGGCCAAACCAATTTCTGTACATATATTCATCCAGGTAGCTGTAAATCATCAAGTTTCTTGACCCATTTACTGTTCTGACCTTCTTTTTTAAGTAACCCTATAAACATTCGGTGGAATTTTTTTGAGTCCCATCGAAAGAATCAGTAAAATTGGAAGGAATTTGTGCTACGGCAAACGGTTTGGGCATTTGTACACAAACTCATCAATAGAGGCTGTGTATCTCTGTAAATGCATTACTCATTAGCATCCACATGTCTTCTCTCTTCCTATGAGCCTGTTATCCATACAGTACTTAAATGCTAGATTTGTAAGAAATCTACTGCGTAAATCATGTACGGCATGCATAGTTCCCCCTGTTTACTACGGATTCACCTCACTGGTCACTCAAGGTTATTACGTCCGTGTATTAGGTAGTTCGTTTTAGGTCGCTATAGTTTGGTGTTACCATATATTACTTGTGGTGATTACTGTAAAATGACTATCTCGTTAGCGGAGGAATTTCGTAGCTCAGGTGGTAGAGGATTAGGGATCGCTGGTTCGAGTCCTGCCATGAGATTCAGACTTTCATTTCATCTTTAATTATCCCCCAAACTGCACCAAGTGGTTTTCAAGCAAGCGTGAACAAATGATACTAGGTAATATAGCTCAGAATCAGTCTCAATAATGTAAATATACTTCTAACCCCTTTCTTATTAATACTGTTCCCTTGGGTTCCGAGTACAACATACAGTTTCAACAGTACATCTCCATTCTGTCTCATTTTCTAAGGTTCTCTTTAGCTGACTCAATGATTATCCGTATCCCCTCATCTCCTGTTCACGCAATCTCCTCCATGTCATCCTCGGGTGACCTACTTGTCGTTTCCCATTCGAGGCCCTGGAGTGCAATGTCATTCAACGGTCTTCTTTCAGTTCGCCCGATCCATTTCCATTTCCTTCAGCATATTTGCTGAGCAATAGGTTCCAAACTCTCTTAAATTTGGTTTACTCTATTTGCTTTATGTCGTGATTTTCTTATTACAGAATTCCACGATTCCTGGTTGAATTATTTTGTATTACTTTTCACTAAACGCCTTTTACTACCCTCCCACCTTACTGTTCTAATATGATGTATGATAATTCAAACCGTTACAAGGTTATGTCCAGTCGTCTTCTGATGACTTAGCTAGTTGTCTTTATTCGAATAAATTTCAAACACCATCGATCAACAAACAGGAAGGTGTTACCAGCATAGACTCTAAAATCACTAGACAGTTTGTTTAGACTGCCTTCCCCAGCTCATATTTAGTCATCACGTATAGAAAGCCACTGTTGACTCAATTATTTCAACTTCATTTTTGTTGCAAACTTTTCAAAAGATAGTGTTCTGTAAATTTGTCAACTGGCTTGGTATGTGCATGTTGTATTTATAAAATTCTGCACATATTATCTGCATAAATATTATATTATTACATATCACAATCTGTGATCACACTTGCAATAAATCGAATTCGTACAAACATACTCTTGGAAATTAATCTGATACCCGATATTGACTGGCTACAGGACGAAGTTGCCTGGGAATTCCTGATCGGTGGGGTCCACCGGGTCAGATGTGAGGATATATACTTGCTGGATACAATGGTTAGTGGTCGCGCCAAAATCACGAATTGGTAAAGGTAAGAATTCATAGGCTGATAAAACCGGGTTCCAGTGACTGAATGATATACGAACTTGCCTTGAAACCGAAAGGTCGTGGTCTCGAAATTTATCGGTAGGTGTGTACTTCTAGTGAGTCTCAAACTAGGACAAACAGCTGTCCAGTACTCTCAGGTTCTCCAATGGTTCTCAAATTGATATCAATCCGTGATCAAATTAAAAATTTTTTCGTCCCTTAGATTCTAAGTGGAATATAAAGTTTCATAGATACATCTTAATTGTACCCTGCCCTCTGCCGTCCTTCTTAACTGCCCATAAGTTGTAATTTCTTCTCTACATGATCTCCTCTATGTCACTTTGGGACAGATAACCCATCACTTGCTACTCGGGTTCCACTAGAAGGTCTCTTCAGTAAGTGTTCAGTCAATTTTCATTTCCTTGTGCATATTTCCTGTGTAATAGTTACTGCATAAATGATCAAACTTTAATGATAATAATTTACAGCCGTATAGTAAAACTAAAGCGCACTATATTGGCTGATATACCTACAGATTGATATGAATACATAATAAGGAAAGGAAATAATCAAGCCTATGATGAACAATTCGGTTTAAAATACCCGGGAGGAGCAATCATTTTGATGTCGAAGGAAATCGACAGGAAGCCAGGTTTCACATGTTAATTAACATAAACTAACAATCTGTACCTAAAACTTCAAGGAGATTGATGTCCCACAAGAAATTCAGATCTATGCCAATCAATTATACAATCAAGAAGTTTACCGTCAGACTATTCAAACTGCGATTGACATCATGTTGGACAATGTCGGATATATAGTGAAGTAACCAATGAAAAGTGTATGTACCACATTATTTTCCAACTACTTTGTGAGACACACGATCTTGTCAATGTCTCCTATACTCAAATAGAAGTACGAACTTCGTGTGGTAATGTTATAATAATAATAATAATTATGATTATCATTTTCTTGGGTTGCGAGTGGAACACAGGGCATCAGCAGCACACTGCCATTTCACCATGCCCTTTGTAATCTTTTTTAAATGATTCCGAGGTCGCCTTAAAGCTCTTATTTCTTCCACACATGATCTCTTTCATATCACCCTTGGATGCATAGCTCGTTGTATTTTATTCGGGTTTCGCTTGGTCGGCTTAGCGTGTGATTTCACCCAACAGTCTCTTCAGTGTTTGTCTAATCCACCTCCATTTTCTTTCAAATATTTGGTAGGCAATAGCGCTTCTTGACTGATTCGTTGTCAGAGTTTTTGGCCGCCTATTCTTTCTGATAATCTGATCTTCAGTATGGAGCCAGAAAAGACAGCTGTTGATAAAAGTTTGAAGCCTGTTTGAAATCCTTTTCGTAACACGTCAAGTCTCTGAACCATATATATAGATGTACTGATTGCCTTGACACTGGTGTTGAAAACGTAAATCTTGTTTCTTGTAATTAGTGTAGTGAAGTTTTACAGCGATTTTAAAGTAGCGAAGTTCCATCTTGTTTTTCCTATCCTGCGTTTGACATCCTCATCCTTGCCGTCTGTGGTTCAGCCGATACTGTCTTGATAAGTGAAAGACGTGAATTCTTTTAGATTTCTCCCGCTGATGGTGTGATTGATGCTCATTGTTGGTGAGGTATCTTTTCATCTCCTTCGTTTTCTCTATGTTCACTCGAAAGCCTGTTCTTCACTGCTTGCCTCTTCTGGCAATCTGTTGGTTTTCGCCTGTAAGTCTTTGAGTTTGTGTGACACTAAATATAAATCATCGGCGAAGTTCAAATCTCCCATTGTCTTCTCATCGATACAACGCATGCTCATCACCCTTCGTGTTAACTAACTACTCTTCCTGTTGAAACCCACAAATATGAAAACAGTGACACAGTCAGCATTACAGAGTATATATATATATGAAGATAAAAACACCACACAATGATAACTTACCTTTATAGTAGTACACTTAGAAGATCCTTGAACAGCTGATTGATTACTCGCACTGTCAACATTATCAAATGATGAATCACTTTTCTCTGGTTTTACATTTGGTGTAACCTTAGTGAAACAGGACAGACCCACTTTATTGCGTAAACCTAATAAGTGTGCATGATTACCATGACGATTATTCTGACTGTTGTTACTACTATTGTTATTACCACTATTTGTTGGTGAGTCAGTATCAAAATCTTCAGTGAAACTTGAAGCTTTTTTAGGCAATTCAGATTTGAAACCTGGAAGAAAACTTCCAGTAGGACGACTCAACAAAGAGCCACGCTATAAGAAGAAGTGAAAAAAAAATAGTATATAAGTAAAATTTAGTTAAAATTGCATATAAGTGAGGAGGTTAGGAGTATCAATACGTAAATGTTTTTTGACAATGAAAAATATTCTCAACTAACTGGCCGTACATCTTTAGCTTTGCACTTAACTTTCAGTCATCAGTTTTCAGGTTCAAATTCCATTCTACTTGCTTCACAACCTAGGCTATCACGAAGTATCTTTGAGTGTGATTTATGGTCTGGTATAGCGAAAAAAACCCGGTTCCGGATGAACTGAATTCTAACTGATTATTGTGTTTTGATGGATAAATCAATACAAGAGAACGGTCTTAGGATCCAAATAGTCTTATATTATTTTTTTGACATTCTATTTATATCACTAGTCAGATGGGTATGCGTTTGTAGTGAAGGGAGGGGGTCAATATAACAGATTATATCTTAGGCAGTAGTAGCTACGAATAAACTACAGTTTTCATCCTTTCCTCTCTTTCTAAAATGAAAATGAACTGGTGAACATTTTTTATTAAGTGGTCGGTGGCACAGTGTTTAGGACTTTCGCCAACCATGAATATAGCCCGGGGTTCGACCTCCCCGATATCAATGGTCGGTCTGCAAAATTCAAGCTACCGATATCACAAGCTGAACATTCCTTACTTCTACTAAAAAAAGGTACTGTGTGGAATCAAGCTGCAATCAAAAAAAGTCTATATGTTTTCACGATGTTTTTCCTGAATTATTCTATTTCTTTTATTAATAATAATCAGCTTTATTCTAAAAACAGTACTTATAGTACAGAATGGAATTCTCAGTATTTGACACAATATTACATCTAATTTACTCACAATATAAATAAAAGTAACCACAGCAATTTGTTCATCTTTACAGTAGGAATAAAGTCAAGAATGTGTAGAGTACAAAATGAGAATAATAACTCTAATAATAATAATAATAATAATAATAATAATAATAATAACAGTAGGATTGTTTCAAACAGTATTGTCAATACAGTTTGCAAATTTTAGCATGTTATAGATTATTGAATCTAATGTTCTCTTAATACGGCATGGAGAAAGGAAAACCAAAAAAAATTGAGAGGATTACAAATATAAGAAGAATAATAACAGTAAAGCTTGGTGGAATAAAGGATGGAGAAAATGGTCTATTTACTAGTGCAAACAAGGTTAGTTAGTTTCTCCCCGACACTATTTTCACCAAATAAAATAAGTGCCAAATATGGTAATCGTTGAATTTTTATTCTTATGCGTGGGCGCATAAAGTCTTTTGAAATAACTGCTCATTTTGCCTGAGGAGATACAAGGTTGAAGCTGTGGGTAAAATGGATGCTCACAGTCTGACAAAATTCCTTTAGCAAATTTGTTGCATGAAATCAAGTACCTACTGATGACGACGTCAACGATATGGCCCAATGGGATACCACTTGCCCTCCTGACAGTCTTCAGAGTTCTACGAAGTATGACATAGTCTTTTTTAAGCAATCCAGGAAAGAATAAGGGTGAACAGTAAAGAAGAATAGGTAAGATGCAGGAATTGAAAAACTGTAAGGGGAGCAGTTGAGTGCCTTAACTTCTCGTGGCAACTCGAACTGCTGCACTTTGGTGCCAAGTTCTATGTTGAATCCAGACAGACAGTCTTAACTTCTTATTATAAAAAGTCAGACGGAATATTTTTCAGAAATCGCCAAGACATGGGTAGACCAGGATAGATCAGAAGAAAGAATTAGTTACTTAACGTCAGACTTGATTTCTATATCAATGTCATCAATTTTACGACAGTCATAGGAATTAACAGCTTCATTTAACTTTCTTTTACATCGGAAACTGAAATTAACAGTCTGATATTTGGAAGGATTTAGTTTAAGATCATTAGACAAAGACCGTTTGTTGACTCTTGATAGAAAGCTGTTCATGTTAGTACAGTCTAACAGGAAGTTAACAGGCATTGATAAAGTTAGATCGTCCGCATACCTAACAAAGTTCATTTCATCAGAGTGAGGTAAGTCGTGCAAGAAGAAAGAAATCAGAATAGAAGAAAGAACACTGCCTTAAGGGACGCCAGCCTTAGTAAGCAGTGAAGAGAACGACTTCCACTGAAATACACTGTACTGTTTTCTTCCTGAGAAATAAGACTGCAGCCAGTTGACAACCCAAAACTCAGTTTGAGAATCAGCAAACTGAGTTAAAACAGATATGTAATCTAGGAAGGCGCAGCGGACAAATTTAGCCCCTTTGTCTAAAATGGAGACGTTTTTATGAAAATGTTATAATATATTGTGTTTTGTTTGGTGGCATCCATATGCTTAAATAATTATAGTAATAATAAACAGTGGGTGAAGTAAATGAACAAGAACAGTTTTTCATATCAATTTTATATTATTTATTTATTATTTTTGATTACAGCTTGATTCCACACCGTATTATTGGTACAGGTATGGAATTTTCAGCATGTGATATCGGTAGCCCAAATTTTGCAGGCCGACCATAGATATCAGGTATGCGTCGGCAGGGGATCGAACCCTGGACAATGTGCATGATCGGCGAGAGTAACAACCGCTGTGCCACCGCCGCACATTAGTTTCACGATCTATCCTGCTTTGCAGGTCAATCATCGTCACCAACCCTGTGGTCTGGATCAGATTTTAATTAGTGCGCTTGCATGAAAACGGTGTAGCAGCCAGGTCCTGCCACTCCTACTAACGGAGAAGGCCCCAAAGTCCCAGGTTATCTACTTTAACCGCCTAAGTGGGGACGGCATCAGGTGCCCGACCTGGGTTATCGTCCACTTAGGCCAACCGGATCTCACTAGGCGCCCGTCTCCGCAGTCCACCACCTTAACCTTCATCGTCCGCAGACACGAACGATGGCATCTAGAGCATCTCAGCTCTCCGACGCACGTAATCAATGCTCAAGGGTTTGATAATTCCCTCCCATCAGAATACAAAAGTAAACAGGGCGAAAGCACAAACAGATAAGAAAAGAAATAACTTACTCTGACCACTGGAAGTTTAACATCACGAGTGTTATTATCAGTATACAATATGGGTTTTATAAAATCAACAGATTTACAAGTATTGTTATTATTATTATCATCCTTGGTTTTGTCGTCATCATCATCACCTGCATCAAACTCATCCGTGTTGATATGCTTATCATTCTTAATGGAAGTAGTAGTTGTTTTTGTTGTAGTCGACTCACTAGTTGTCAATTTAGGCTTTAAAAAGTTGGATATTGATGCGTTTTTAACAACATGACATGGTTTTGTAGTTTTCCCTTTTATAAGGTAAATAGAGGAAGAGAGGAAAAAAATAATAAAAATATGCAGAAGAAGCTATACAGATTGATTAGAAATTTGTTAATTTTATATTATTTATTAGTCAATCCTGGACACTTCAAACTGCCTATATCAATTTGAGTGTGTTTGTGAAAGCAAATACATAGGTTGAAAACAGCTGAGTGCAAAGTGCCAAAATCCTCAATAACAAAACATCTTGTGGATTACGGACATGATATCGACACGGTCAAGTCATTCACTATTGTCAGCAGACAAAGAAACAAGAAGATGCTTGCAATTGCAGAGGCTTGTGCAATTCGAGTTTATAAACCAGGTCCCTGTGCACAAAAGGAGATGGTCGTGACTCTGAATCTACCATGGTAATACATTTTACTTATTATTCTACCTCCTATTATTATTATTAATGATTCATTTAAAACTATCCTTTATGAGTAGCATTATCTTAACTCACTTCAACACTTATTATTATTGTTATTATAACCATTACTATTGATATTAGTCTGTTTGCAATTCTTGTTATGTTTTCTAAACACTAATTGTTTATCTAAGTGATGTAATTGAAGCGTAATGCAATTTATTTTAATTTTGATCTCTCATATTCTCTATCCCATTATCTATTTGATCATAACCTGGAAAACATTCGCACCTGTCTTTCTGCATGACTAATTCAATGTAGTTTGTTTACTAATCAGTCTTATATCTCCCAATGTAATTTCGAAAGCATATATGTATCCGTGTATGTAGAGTATTCAGCTGACGAGTTCTACCGAAATTTGATGAATTCATTAAATCTTGCTTTATTAACCTTTATTGCTTGTTTTATATTAATTAGTGGTTAAATGGGAAGAATGCACCAAGTTTCCACTTATTTTTGAGTGTTTAACAACCGAATCCCATGGGTGGTGGTGGTGCATTGACATAATACTTGCCAATCACTCAGATGGTTCGGATTCAATTACTAGTCAGTGAACTCCTAAACCTTTCAACAGAGTTGAATATTAAAGATTGTTGATGTTGTGAAAATTTCAGAGGGACATGAACCACAAGCTGTTAGAAGTAATTAATAACTGCTATGTTTATGATTAGTACAGTGATTAAGAAAAGACAGAGTTTCTGTTGTGCTAATGAGAAATAAGGTAGAGAAAATCGATCAGGAAGAAAGATACTTACGGAAGAAACTGCTCTGAGGTGGTGCTATATTATGGATTGACATATTCTGCAATCCATGGTTTATTAGACTCTGACCCACTACTAGCTGGAAGGTAGCAGGTCTTGGGCCAACCACTGTGTACTCCCCTGTCTTTAATAATGAGTTTGTCACGAAACTCATGAATCTAACTGTCATAAGACTATGAGACAATAAAACCCAAACGTTAAAACGTTTGCGCGAAAGTGTAGTACGAATAAATGATATTTAAATGTGCAGTACAGTATTTGTCAAGACACTGTACATAAAAAGTATATATCTTAAGAAATACGAATTTGAATCAACTCCTAGCATACTGAATCGCAGTTTGAATAAACAACATCTCTGGTGAAGTCATTGGAAAAACAATATATATATTGTTAGCTGATGCGTTCAACTATCAAGCAAGGCATTTCACGTTCAAATCTCATTTCATCGAATCAATCTGGATATCCGAATAGTTAACACGGCATCAAACTTACAGCTGATATAAAGTGATGACTGAGTTTTATGACAGTAGTTGGTAGAACTGTATGAACTGTATGATGACAACCTTATCTCACTAAAGGACTTTATTTTATTTCGACAAGACCGTCGCTGTTGTAATAAGAAAAATGGTGGTGGCGTTGCAACTTTTATTCACTCCAAATGGTCTGTCTCAAATAACATCTGCTTCACCTTCTCAAATGACTTCATTGACTGTATTACTGTCAAATGTCGCCCCAAACATATCCCCAAATACAAACAATTCTATATTACAAACATGTACATTTCTCCTAGTTGCTCTCCATCTGATCTATCTAATTTTGCTGATGAATTCACCATGTTTGCTGCTGCCAACTTCGACAACTCTCTATCCGTTATTACTGGAGACTTCAACACATCAGATTGCTCCTTTCTTGAAGCTCTTGGTCACACAAATATAGTCAAATTTCCCACTCGACTTGACAAAACCCTTGACTTGGTTTTTACCAATGATGAAGGAGTATATGAAACACGTAGACGTTCACCGATACATAACTCCGATCACTGCATTGTCCGCGTTTTGCCAAAAATATACAGCAAAACACATATTAAAATCTTCTCACACCTGTCCACGAAGGCACAACAAAGAAGCTACACATCTGACAACTTACTCAATCTAAGATGCATGTTAAAAGATACCAACTGGGATCTATTTAATGAAAGTAAATTAGATGACTCAATCACCAATATAATGGATTATCTTAAGTTCTGCCTTGACATATGCTGTCCCAAACAAACACTGTTCAAACGCCTCGACCGCTTCTCGTCACCCCATCTCAAACAACTTCGCAGGCAAAAAGAAATGTTATATAAATGCAAAGACAAGTTAGGACTTAAAAAGATAAATGCTCAAATCAAATCTGAAATCAAAAATCTTAATGCTATCTATAACCAAACACTTTTATCATGCAAATCTCCAAACAGCATGTGGAAACTTTTCAATGAAATTACTGGCAATAGTAAGCGATGTAATGTTTTTCCCTCTTGTGATGTTAATGCTCTTAATCTGTCTTTTATACGCTCTCCTTCTACCATAACCACTTCTAATGTTACCAATCTTGTAGCTGATAACTTCCAGGACTTCAATACTCTCGATGTTTTGAAATGTCTTAAAACTCTTAAGCCCTCACATAGTCTTGGCCCTGATGGCATACCTGCATATGTCCTAAAACAATGTGCAGATGCTTTATGTTCTCCTCTAACTAATATACTAAATGCTTCTTTCTCCGAAAACGTTGTACCTGTTCCATGGAAAGACATTAAAATAGTCCCTGTCCCTAAACCTGGAAATAGCAAGAACGTAAAGTTCAGACCCATCGCCATCACTTCCCCGTTTCTAAAGCTCATGGAAAAACTAATACTTCTTAAACTCGAACCCTCCCTTAAAAGCTTCGAAGACCCCAAACAATTTGCCTACAGACAGGGTAGGAGTACTTTAGACGCTGCAGCCGTCTTACACAACAGTATTGTCTCATCATTAGACAAAGGTGCCAAATATGTCCGCTGCACGTTTCTTGACTTCACTTCTGCTTTCGACTCTGTACCTAGAAGTCTCTTGCTAAATAAGCTCTCCACGACACAAACCGAGTCTTGGGTCACTAAGTGGTTGCATTCCTACTTTTCAAACAGAATGCAGTACACCGTATACAAAGGTCAATCCTCCTCTGCTGTGCTCACTGAATCTGGTGTCCCCCAAGGTGCTGTACTCTCCCCACTTCTCTTTTCATTCTTCCTACATGACCTACCGTCTTCAAATGATATTAACTTTGTCAAATATGCTGATGACCTAACTGTATCTTTACCTGTCAAATGTCAAAATGACTGCTCTAAACTAAATGGCTTCTTATCAGAAATTAGCCAATGGTCCAAGGAAAACGGTCTAACCTTAAACCCCTCCAAATGCCAAACAGTTAATTTCACCTTTAGGCATAAATCTGACCTAAACAAACTGGTTAGCGCTCACGAGGTGTGCAACATAGATGGCACTGAAATAGAAACTAAGTCGGAAATTAAATACCTAGGCGTCACTCTATCTTCTGATCTTTCCTGGTCGTCTCATATCTTGACGATTTCCAAGAAAATATACCGTCTTACCTTCTACATCAAGAAGTTAAGACATTCTGGTGTAACCCAACCCTTACTACTACAATTTGTTAACTCCCGTATTCTGCCTATAATTCTCTATTGCTCCCCCTTAGTCTTTCCTGGGCTATTGAAGAAAGACTATACCTTATTACGTAGGATGTTAAAGGTTGTCAGCAGGGTAAGCAGCTTGCCACTTAGCCAGCTTGTTAACATTCTGGTGGACAGGCACATGGACTCATGTGAAAAATGGGCGAAGTCCATTTTATCTGACTCACAACACCCTCTACACTCACAACTCTCCCCATGTATCTCTTCAGGGAAAACAAGAAGTCTATATAGGAAACTATATGCCCGCACTAGTAAGTACAAAAACTCATCCATACCCTACCTAGCCCGTGTTCTGTGTGATAAAGAATGCATCAGGCATGAAACCTTTAACTTATTAAATAGTCACTAGAACCAATGAATCTCGTCTTTCCAACTCACATCATTTATAGGTACAACGTTTTCTCTCTCTTCATTCTGTATTTATTTTTGTTATGTGCTGTTTTGTTTCTCTCTTCCTTGCAAACTCTACTTAAAACATTCTTGTTCGTTCTTTTACACTCTGTATATCTCGACCATTTTGCTATCGCTTACGCCAGTAAATATGCTAGTAGTATCTACTTTTGTAACACCTTCAAACATTTTAATTTTGGCTTTGCTACCGACATACTAATATGTTGTTGAGATAATCTTTAAACTATGTAGAACTTTATTTATTGTTAATGTAAACAAAAAACTGGATGCAATATTGTAGTAAAATGCTGAGAATTCCATTCTGTATCACAAGTACTGATTTGGAATAAAGCTTATATAATAATAATAATAATAATAATAATAATAATAATAATAGAAGAGATGAAATTACTCAAGGAGACAGATACGACATACGATAGGAAATTCTAGTCCTCTATTTACCTACTGATTTGATAACTACTGTAGGACAGAAGGAAAATGTTTATACTAGTAGACTAGGTTGGTGAAAAATTCGGGTGGCTTGAACTGATAGGGCCTGATGAGCTGATGACCTCGGCGCCGAAAGAGTGAAACAACTAGTGTTAAGATTATTTTGATCTAGGTAGAAAGCGCTGTTGCTTGACATGAGTGGTTCCCAACTACTCATATATCCAATCAGTAGTAGTGTGTAGAATCTCCGTATGCCAAATCTGTGAAAACTAAGTGAGCATATCATCAAACTACTATTATTCAAATGACTAGTGTAGATGTATATGTGACAAGATGATGTTACTAACATAAGAGACTAAACTTCATCTACTTCTTAATTAAAAGATAGAAAAAGTGGAAATGGAATAAATAACTCACCACGATTAGCTGATATTTTATTTTTAACAATTATTTGAGTTTGCACTTTTGTTTGAGTTTTCATCAGAGCTTTTCTTCCAAGGGATAGAACCTGTAAAACGCGTATATATGTTTATAAATGGTTATATGTTTAATTAAAATAGAGAAGGTTTTTGCTGGTAAATATTTATCAACCATAAAGGGATAAGTTGAACACCACTTTTGAGAATCTTCAAACAGTGCTCAGTGATAAATTGAAGTTTTGCAGACATCAGATTTACATCCAACTATTTCATATGTTACTTTCACTAGAAGTCAACTCTCCACGGAGTCAACCTTTTTACAACTGGCTATCGATATTTTAGCCTCAATCTCTCTGACATATTCAGAACTAAATTTCCAGTGAAGTCAGCGATAGTTTTGATGAAGGCGAGGCAAAAAACTACATATGACAACTCTCAAGTGTATCTTCCTTATCCACAACAAAACAATGACGCACGTATACATATTCAAATGAGTGTGTAAGGATGTAAAAAATGAAATGTCGAATCATGTTGCAATTTGCATTTATGTACGCTATATTGGTGACTGAAAATGATTGGCTCACTGCTCTAGCTGCTTGACTTAACCGCCACAGGTTCGAATTCCAGTCTCCGCTTTACCGAGATTCAGACAGATAGGTAGCATCATTAATCCAGAAAAAGAAAGAGTAAGTTTGACTGACAACTACAGAGTAATGCAAGAGGTTATTGAGTAACATTTTTGTTGTTGTACAGGTTCAAATCGAATATGGCCGAGAAACAACCGTAACGTACTTAGCACTAATTAACAACTGACATCTAGCCAATCCGACAGAATCACAGAATAGAATGTCAGGTCATAAAAAAGAGGAGAGAATAACAAAGAATTAAAGAATTGAAAACGCTCGTATGTATGCTATTTACTGCATAAATAGTTGTATCTCCGCAGCTGTGTGAATCATAACCATCTACATATTTGTTATTACTACAGTTATCCTAGGGTTGCATGAAAATGATTACATAAGGAATCACTAAGGTGTTTATCAGCCAGTTAAAGAGGAACTTTGATAATAAATTTTGGTAAAAGACGTCGAAAAAAGACTGTGCAACCTCATATTACCAGTCCTATCCTTATAGTTGATAAGCAGCAAAAAGTAGTGAAATTCAGGAAATCTGTTTACTTCCCTACTACAATACTGTAACGGTTTACACATCTGTATCACCTGTCAGATGATGATACCACTATCACAGACAGAGAGTAATTAGACTTACAAATATCTTCAGTAGTCCTCCAATTGAAAATCTATGAAAAAGGAGGGTTGTTAGGACGGACAACATGTCATTATTAGTCGTGAAGTCACGACTGATGCTATCAATCGCATATTGATTGCCTGTTTATGGTTTAAATTTCTGTGGATGTGTAAACGATGTATATCCAGTACTTTGGTTAATACAGTTGTTGTCAAAGTCAACTGTCCGACTTCTTTGCGTTTACTCAGTGTGGGGGCGTATTTCCAAGTGATCAGTCGGTTACAGTGTTGTGACAGAAGGTTCATTCTACTCAAGTTATATAACAACTAACAAATAAGTGACACTCCATTATAACATAAACGATTGATTTATTCAAATTTTGTGCGTGGAGAAGCATTTGAACTGATTATGTATTGATACGAGTGTTAAAGAAGCTGAGCCATACAATCCCCACAATACATTGTTAACTGTGGGTGTTAAGGCACTTAAATAACTTTAATACCTCTTTGATAGGCTATCGCAAGATACCGAATCTCATTGTCAAACAAATTTATTTCGTACTTAACTCCAATGTGGCTCATCTAGTGGTACCAAGGTTCGAATCTTGGTCAACTTTATCAACTCTTAAGCTATAAAAGTGTGGTTTATACCGTGGAACATGAAAGACCTGTTCCAGAGATCGAGTTCATTCAAATGACAATGAAAGAGGCAGTTAAGACATTACATCATCTACACAATTAATTGATAGGAATTACGAGAAAAGAAAAGCTAGCTTGTGTGTTTGTGAGAGAAAAACAACAGTCTTTTTCACTACAATGAAGAACAAAGAAACTTACTGCATTAGTGGAAAATATATTTGTACTTGAGTCAATATTATTCTGTAAATTTTCCTTATCATTATTATTATTATCATCATCGTCAATGTCTGATCCTGGAGGTGTATCGTCACTAGGATTATCTTTAGATTTTTGTATTCCATCCGAATCAAGATCAACATTCTCCATAGACTGATTATTATCACCATTGTTATTTCCACTAGAAGATTTTAGTTTCGAATCTAATGGACCACGTAACCAACGATCCATAGGACCATATGGTACATCACCTTCATCATTTGAACTTTCATCTCCGTCATCACCATCATCGTTCATATTCAATTGATCAGCAAATGGATCATCATTATCTAGTAAAATTGTAATATGAGAAGTCAGGTGATAATTAGATATTGTGCAAAGTATATCCTACATTGGAAGAAAATGAAGGTAGAGTTAAGGCGTAAATGGTGTGATGAAACTATTCTTCTCATGGGATTAACACGAGAGGTTATGTTTATGTGTGAATTATATGTGGCGGGAATCGCGTTAGAAGTTCAGTGGTGAAGTGTTTGCCAACCACACTCTGGATTTCGACTACAGGACAACTCTCCTCCGAAACATCGATTAGCCGGTAGTAAGCCCAGAAAGGAAGGAAAACTGGGCGCGAATCCAGCTGTCTTACCCCATAGAAAGGTAATCTGTCTGTCTGTCTGTTTTCGACATAGAACTTTGCACAAATGCGCGGAAGTTCAAGTCGCCACATTCCATGTAGCACACAAAGCAAGAGAAGAAAGTACAAGAAATGCATAATAGAGACAGTAAGCAGAGGTGTGAGACAAAGGAAGAGTAATAACGAAGAACAAAACAGTTTCATTGGAAATCATTAATCACAAGGAGTGGATGCATCTGCGCCAGCCATTGAGAACGGTTTTGAGCCATGTCACCAATTGTTTCCAACCATAGATTTTTACCGTCCCGAGGACCCCAGCCTGGAAGTCTACACCTTTCTACGTGGGTGGCTTAAACTAACTGCTGTGGATTTCATTGACTGATGAATCCATGTTTCGATTTGACCTCCGCTAGCTTTTTTCCAGCCTGACCCTATATCCGCTAACATTGACCGTCGAGGGAGGCGATGACTTGGCATACGTAACACATGTCCTAACCATCTCAGTCTTTGTAACTTCACAACCTCGTCGATTGATTTCCCCTCCTTACCTAGAACTCGACGCCTAACTTCAATGTTGCTCACCTTATTATGCCACTTTACACGGGAAATAGAGCGCAGGCACCTATGATCAAAGACAGCTAATCTTTTCATGTCTTCCATTCTCAATGGCCAGGTCTCACAGCCAAAGGAGGACGGAGCGGACTGATGAGCAGTACACCCGCCCTTTGGTCGATAGTCGAACATCTCGTCTACGCCAGAGTCGGCGTAAACTGGCAAATGCGAAACGAGCCCCCTGTATTCGTGCTGAGATTTAGTCAGAGATCAGCCCGTTGGGGCTGATGGTACTTCCCAAATAAGTGAAGCGGTCAACTTGCTCTACCACTTCACTTCCTATTTTTAAACTAGGCATTAATGTAGTCCAGGTAATAGCACCGCTACTGAAGCTTCGATAGCTGCTACCTTGACGTGGTGGTCGGGCTTGCACATCACGATGACCCAACAAGCTACACTGGCTGGAACCAATGTTCCTGCAGGTCCTAACGTGACAGAAAGGTTGCTAGGATAGCCATTAGACTAAAAGCAGTTACCGGCATTGTGTAAGAATCTTTCTCACACTGTGCTGGGGGGTCTGCAGGCGAAGTCGTACTGCTGGGGAACAGGGGTGTAATAGCAGTAAGATGTTTCCCTCAGATGACTAGTATCCCAGCCAGCTATGCTATCTCTCCACTCTGAAGAGAGGGGGTTAGAAAATTTTCTTCAAACCATTAAGAAATGGCTTTTATTTAGATGTTTACAAAACTCAGATATCGCTAGTACACCTGATTCGGACAGACGATAGATACATTGTTGAAGAATCCTTTTCAATTATCTATCTATCATGTACCGAAAAAAACTGCCAAAAGCCAAAGCCACTAGGTGTGCTGAGTACTGCAAACAACAATGGCCATAGCAATTGGCTTAAAACACTGTGAACAAGTCCAGCAATTGTTGCTACTCTGGCCTGCTATGGAATCTATTGATTGATAAATACTGTGTGACATCATACATGGTAACCATTATGGATATATATGACTACAGGACCTGTAAAAGAAGTTATTGAGAAGAAGACACTTTGTGTCACAAATCAGAGTGTTGAAGTTTAGTCTGGGGTGAGTCAAACCGGGTACATACTGCTGATGAGCTCGGTCTCGAACGAGCGAGACGGTCCTTCAGTGTTGAGCTCACTTTGATCTGGCTATCAAGTATTACTGTGGTGAGAGCTGTCTGCTAGCCAAAATTGGTAGACAGCACTTAGCATCAATGTTGACGTCCCAAATCTTGGTCATGAAGAAAAAACAAGAACAAAGACTAACTCAACAACCAATCACAGCAGACAAAGAGTGGGCGGATACGATTAGCAGAGATATCAACGAACTGTCTAAGAAACGGTAACAAAGAGATGACAGAATAACCATCAGCAGGAAAACAACCAATCGGAAGATCTGTTGCCTGGCTTTGTCTTTTGGTGGATATGAGTGGTATGCAACTACTGATCTCGATCAATCCAGAAGTATATGGTTTTGTACAAGTATCTTTAATTGTATACATATATACCAAGATATCGAATTATTAACAACAAATTACCTAATCCCCGCCATCGGAAACGTCGTTGACGAACACGGCCATCTTCGGCGTGTAAATCTCCATCTTCTAGATACAATTCCTGAAATATATTCACAATAACAAGATTATTGATTATTATTAAAAAAAAAACATTACAGAGATAAGTGACATAATTCAAATGACTGAGTCAGTCAGAATCAGAATGAAGAAAACCAATAAAGTGGAATTCAAAGACACTTAGATGATGGACTTTCAAATAACAGACAGGTAATGTTGAGTATTCAACCCATTGAAATCATTTTGTAAAGACGGTTGTTGGGTGTAAATATTAATGAGAATATAATTACTCACTGCTATACAGGTACACTCGGATGATGAGTAGTAAATGAGACGAAACAAGTGTCGTGGATTCCATTGATAGCCATCCTCAACCAAATATTCTTATTTAATTGTTACAGAGGTTTTAATCCATCAAAGTAACATTTCAACTTCTCATAACTTTACTAGAGGTTGAAGAACAGTTCTAGTATTCTAAACAAAAATGTTTAACTGGATTTAACCAATAAATATGCACTTCTAGATTCATTCGCTATATTTTTCCCACGTCACTAACACTGTAGTTAGGCCTAATATGTATACGTAATAGTCAGTCAGATAAGTATTAACACGAACAGATTGGCCAGTGGATGATGGGTGGTATCAATCTTAAATCTTGAACGAAGGTCTATTTGATGATGTTCAAAATGTGAACAAAACATTCAATAAATCAGTTGACTGAAGTGCAGTACGCACCCACCACCAGGGTTCGAACCTGGGACCTTCTGGTTACAAGGAGAGCTCGCAGACTATTAAGCCACTGGGACCCGAGCCAATGGCCCGTGAATTCCACCTTCTGCCAATTCACGACATAGTGCGACCAGTAACCAATGTTTTTGGCAAGTAGTTGTCCTCACACCCGACCTGCTGTACCCTAATGGTCACGACTTCCCATTAGAACGAAACAGCTGTTTAGTACTCCCAGGTTTTTCAATGGTCCTTAGCTCATAGTGAAATTCTGTAAGCAATCAATCAAATCTCTACAAACCAATACTTGAATATGAACGTATTTACTGGGTCGGAATATGAATTTAAACAAAAAGAAACTTTCAGTTTGGCGAAAATGTGTTACTTTTCAATTACCAGTGTGGTCTACTACTGAACCACTGACGCGTAATAAGTTATTTGATGATTGGAGGCATTTGGCCGCAGGAAATCCTATCTGACCTAGGTTTCGTGCTTGTTGGCGCTCTCACTAGTGAGCAGGGCGTATCTGAAATCTTGGAGGAAGTCATTTCCCTTCTGATATTCAAATTTGTGTCACCCAGTGTTACAGATGCAGCCGGCACCACTGAGATATTCGGATTCGCGATTGACCTTCTCTGTAGGAGTGTATTAGATACTTTGATTGGACACCGACTGTTAAATAGTGTCATAAGTGTCTAGTCCTTTGTTTGGTCCAGACTGAATTCTATTAGTCAAGTTTGCAATGTAGTCACCATTCTAGGTGGCTCGATATCACGGTGCACTATGGATTGTTATTATTAAAGGTGGTTGGATGCAACCGGCAGGAAGCATTCAGTCTGTAATTTCTTATCCGTTAATATTGTATTGTTTTAAAAACAAACCATAAGCTCGCTATCTTATATGTAACTCAAGTGTTTGATTTTTTTATGTGGTCAAGAAAATAAATGCAGTGACAATACATACTACTGACTGATTGATATAAGTAACTAGACACCACTCGTATCAACCATTAATGCTTGCTATCCAATCATGCTGAAGTAATCTAAACGTCAGACGGTCGTTTCGTTCGTTTAGAGAGGAGGTCATCACAAGTGTCCCCTGAAAGGATCCAGCTTAGTGAACTGAATCGGTTTAATTATAATTGCTTTCTTAATTAACATTTGTGGTGAAATTATACCTCAATAATCTCCAGACGATATATATGCATCAAAATATAAGAACTATTTGAATAGTTTAACTGACTGGATTGGTAAGAGTAGACCACAATCATTACCTACCTTGAGAATACGTATCTCACGTAAATCTTGATCAGTTTGTAGCCGATGATGTACACGTTCAAGTTGACGTCTTAAACGACCAGATGATGGAATATTTGTATCATTTTCATCAATTAAATCAGCGAGCTCATCATCATCATCATTTGCATTCAATTCATCTTCATCATCCATATAATATGCACGTTCATTTTCATCACCGGATAATTCAGCTTCTTCATCGACAAAATCATTAACACGAAATCTAAACATTGTACAATAGATAATAATAATAAGTATTGATTGAAGGGGATGAGCACGAATAACAGAATGAAATCAAAAAAGTTATTCAAGGAATATTATAAAGGCGAATTTCGCAAGGAACTACTTTGTAACAGCTCTTAACTATAAACTGCGGGGATTATGAGTTAGGTAAATTATCAGTTGTGATGCGGTAGTTCAGTGGTAGGACACTGTCTAACCACTCACGTGGTCTGGTGTTCGATTCCCAGCCGACGCGTTCCTAAACCTCGCTAATCAGCTGATAGTAAGGCCAGTAAGGAGGGAAAGTTGGCTGTAAGGCTAGCAGACCCACCTTTTGAAAAGAAACACCACTGCTACTGAAACTTCTAGCTGCAGACTTCACCACGGTGAAACTGTGAACCTCGGCGTGATTTGTATTTGTTATATCTGACTAAGATTAGCTAGCCTCATTTTAGTATATCATCATCATCAATATTAGCATCATTAATAACTCAAATCTAAGATGCGTGTTTCCCTATTCCCTGGAAAAACAAGAAAACTTTAGTGCATGAGATACTTATTATAAGTTACGTAATAAAAATCGTCTAGAAGCGACTAAGAATACTTGTAGATCAGATGCATTATTTCCATGGTATTACATTCCTTGAAGTAAATAGCTTCACAGTCGAGTTTTCCTTACCACTCAGGATGAATATCCTCAGCTGAAGCTTTCCGGAATTTAGAGGGACAATGAAAACTGCATGTAAGCAATAATACCGACATAGATACTACTCACTAGAGACGATATTCACAAAGTAAACAGAAAATTAACCACATGAAAAATTGGATGAATTACATAAATAAATTATTGAAAATTAAGGGGTACTGAAAGCTGTTTCTTCATAGTTTGGGACTTGTGGACAGAAAGCGCCTACCACCATAGTCCGAATCCAGGACCATCCGGTTATAAGTCAAGCTCGTTGACCATTCAACCACTGGGACCCAACTCAATGGCCTATAAATTCTAACGTCCAGCAATTCGTGATTTTAGCGCTACTGGCACTAGTCAATGTTATCTGCGAGTATTTGTTCTCACTCTCAACCTGATGGACTTCACACTGACCACTACTTCTCGCACTAGAACTTCAGGCAGCCTTGTTTTGTATCCAGTCACTAGCGAGCATCATATTCATTTCTAAGAGTTGGTTTGTAAGGTTTTGATTTGGATTCGACGCCTGCCAGTGGGTGCATACTGTCAATGAGTCCCAAACTAGGACGAAACACCTGTCCAGTAGTCCCTGGTTTTCAATGATGCTCTAAATGAGAAAAAACTTGGAACAAATCAAGTATCTACAAACTAACGCTTGAAAATACATAAATTATTTTTTCTGGATTACTTTAGAAGGCTAATTCTAGGTTGTCTAGGACAAGTATTTTCAAGATAGGAATCAATGAAGTCGAAACAAATATGACATTACAGCTCTAGTCATCCTATAGAATTCTGAATTATTACATTTTATATGGGGTAATGTAAAATAGGAGAGATATCAAATAGAGTGTATGAGATATTGGGGATAGCTGCGAAAGATTTAAAAGCTTCATGAGAAATAGTAAGTGCACATGAATATATTTTATTTTCATTCCTTAAGTGTATTGCCACACCTAGATGAGCAGAGTAACCTTTAATAGTGTGATTAATGAAGAAAACAATAACCCCAGAGGTTTTTTGGTGAGCAGAAAATATAAATAAATGAGTTCATTAATTACTTTTTCTTCTTTTTCACTTCAGTCGAATTCACAGTAAGACGTTGTACTTCTTCTTCGTCATCATCATCATCTGCAACTGTATCCTCTTCTTCTTCTTCCTCCTCATCCTCCTCTTCATTATCCTCAGCCTCATCAGCCTCTTCCACTTCACTATCCTCTTTAGCAGAAACAGTACCATCAGAATTATCGCTTGCTTCGCCTCCTTCATCTTCAGAATCATCTGCGTTTAACTTCTCATTATCGTCATCTTCAAGGATTCCTTCTTCTCGATTGCTATTTTTAACTGTTTTTTCACTCTTCTCCAATCCCTGCTGCTGATGCCCCTCGTCGTCGTCATCATCATCCAGAATGAGTACTCGTCGACGCGATGAACTCTACTCGTGAACACAAAAAAAAATTTAGATAGCAAATCATTCCAGTTAAACATACTGAAAGGGCATGGTAGTCATTATACGTATAATTTAAAAAAAGAAGCTAAACTGATGTGTAATCGTGAGTGAGTGTTGAACTCAGCTAATTAAAATTCAAAACTCGGAGCCATAAGTTGACCCATTTGGAATACAGAGAGTGGAAAATGCTATCATTGGTAGTGGGTTTAGAACAAGGTACTCTTACGGAAGCGTATCGACGGTTGTTACTTTATGGTTGTCCACGCTATTTCTGAAAGGCGAAAAATGTGTCAGTGCTGCGTGACCATAGAACCCATGGGAAAAATGATTGAGACTAGTCAGTGGTTTTTAGAGTTTTGTCAAACCTGAAGAGCTTACTGTCAGCCATATATCAAGGTAGCACCTACAGTTCGGGCGGTGAGATGACAATACGACGTCAATCCATGTAGTCTTTGACTATCTTAGGAAGTGAAAACCGCCTGGCCGGGTTAAAAACGGATGGTTGGAGACTGTTGGTGACATGAATCAAAATAGTTCTAAATGGCGCAGAGGAGTTAACTTTTCTTGATATTCCATATTCGTTAAATTTTTATTACCCTCCATGTTATTATTATTATTGATGAAACACAAATTTGGTACATTGTAGGCACTAGAGACGTACCAAATAAAATGTCATAGTATCTGCGAGGGCTGTGATGCCACTCGGAGACCCGCATTGAAGCAGCCAGTTGCTTCAAGCGGTCACATTCTCAAGCATTTGACTTGAAGCCTGATCCAAAAAGCAGTGGATAAGCATTCCTACGGTCGCCAGTGACTAAAACAGATTCGTACGACATTCGATCATTTAAGATGGTTCTGCAGCCCACGTACAACATAGGTTTGGGATGGCTATTTCCCAGGTCCCCTAAGTAGAACACCATGTCCATAAGTCCGGTTGTAAGAGCCAGAAGCTCGGATTCTCTTTCACTTTTATAGAGGAACACCACCGCCATATGAAGGCAGTGAATAGGACTCAGCTGGCAGAGGCTATGAATGCGTGATATTTCCAGAGACAGAGAGGGAAAGAGATCGAATTCTGCTCACCCTCCGCCTTACCAGATAGTTTATTGAGGTTTTAATTATTTTTCTCAGCCATTTCAGTCTATTCTAGTTTCTCTGGTACTTCCTTTCTTCTATCTCTGTGGACGCTTTTACAAAATGTAGCAATCGGAACTACTGTACTTCAGTGCAAAGTTCTGTGTTGAAAATTCACTTGGTATGAACAAGATTCTGTGTGAGACTGAGTGTATACGACGTTAAGAGAACGGACACAGGCTCATATTAAAACAGGTGAAGTAGAATTAAACACCACTGTGCGTGCCTACCCCAAACAAATCGCATCTTTGGGGGAAAGACATAAAATTCAACTGATTCAATATAAAAAGTATTTGAAAACAAAGATAACAATAAAAATATCTTACCTGTGTTGAAGGCATAGAAGATGGTAGCGAAGAATCCTGGGGATCTACATATAAAAACAAAGAAATGATAATCTTTAAAATAACTTACAAATATTTTTTTTGAGAAAAAACGGAAAAAGTTTTTAAGTCTGTAGAATTTTCTCTTAAGTCTACTTATCAGAATTAGAAGTCTGTGGCCAATTCTTGCCTTCTAATTTCCTTGCGGAGTACCTGAAACAGGAGCAGCCTAAGTGTCGCATGCCCACAAAGCTCAGAGGACAAATGCTTCAGATTGGTTACACGGCGTGCCTGAAGTGGTTTTTTAGAGTTGTGTCCATATCAGAACTGGGATGTACAGTTTTCGGGGTCGACCTTTCTTAACTCCTCTGCAAGATGAAGGGACAGTATATACCTGGGTAGCCGATCACTTGAAGAGAACACCTTACTGCTATTGATCCCTATTCGCTAGCAGTGGGAATGGGTCGTTGATTTAATAGTTGCTAAGCCAAGTACCTTTTACAATACATATACTGCTGTTTTCACAGTAAGTTTCTTCATCAGCGATAGTCACTCTAAAAAAAACCTGAATGCGATGACTGTAGCAGATTTTGTTGGATCATGCACTCAAAAATCTAAAAAATGCTGCATCTCAAGACGTACAGGAATGGAGTTCTATCAGCTGATGATATAAGAAAAAAAATTGAGCCGATTGATTTGTTTCTTCTGCCACAGTTAGGTGACCAACTCGATAGGAATAGGATTAATTAACGGATTGATATCAGTTAGAGAACCATTGAACATCGAGGAATACAGGATATCCGTTTCCATTTAGTCTGGGACTCTTCAGCGACACACACACCCAAGACATAATTGGGGATCTAACTCAGGGCATGAAGGATTACGAGGCGAGCTCATTGACCAATAAGCCGCTGAGACACAATTCAATGGTCTGTGAATTTTGATTTTTGTTAATTCGGGATTTTTAGTGCCATCGGCAGCCAATGTCATTCGTGAGTCTTTGTCCTTACACCCAACATAGTGGAACCCCACTGATCAAGTTTTCACCATCAAATTTCAGGTAACTACTTTCGGTAGTCTGTCACTAGTGAGAATCAGACTGATTTTCAGGTTTGATCACGGATTGATATCGGTTAGAGAACCAGACTAGAGGACGAAACAGTTGTTCAGTACTCTCTGGTTTTTAGTGATTTGCAATCCATGATGACACTTGAAACCAAGCGAATCCTTAAAAAGTAACACTCGACAGGAACAGGTGATCACATTTTAAAAGTATAAGAATATGCATCAGTAGTAGTGTTCTGAAGAGAGAAAAAAAACAGCTGAAGTACCTGGATTATCATTCTTTATTTTAGGTTTTGTAATCGAGTCCATAAACACTTCTGATTGATCATGTGTTGATTCACCAAACAAGTTACAGTCATTTCCATGATCTTTATGCGTATCTTTAAGGAGAAAATATAAACAACTATTAGAAAAATGAAATGTTCCAAATGCAAAAGAACATGTCTGGAACATTTTTAATAAGATCAAAATGTCAAATACCTTCCTACACGGAAAGTATACCAAGCGCCTTGCACACAGAAGAGATTTTTTTTAAAAGTGGCACCATCTTGTAACACTGGCTTGCATATCGTCCACTGTTTACATAAAGTGGAAAGTTGGTCAACCCATCACATTACTCTATGGGATGAGGAACAGATACCTCATACATCAGAAAAAGTCAATTTGCGATCAGAGACACTATGCCTTTCAGTGGTTGGCTATAATTTTCTTCAGTTTCTACTTTTCGTCTACTTTCGAAAGTAACATGAAGTAATGACTTGTTTTCTTTCAGTGTACGTGTGTTAATCTATTTCTATCCACTTCATTCTGTTACTCTCCAACTTCCGTCCGTATATTTTATATGGCACATCTTATGATGCCCATATAAACACAAGAAATACCGCAGGTTCCTGAATCGCGAATTCAAATTTCGGCAAAGTTAAACTTTAAGTACCAATAACTACTAATCAGCAAATGACGTCGAACGCACCAATCACGAGAAAGAGGCATTTTGGGTACATATATTTATGAAATAATGCATAAAATCTATAGAAAAGTGTTACACAGGATACCTTGCTCTCACATGTGATAAAAATAGCTTCCAGTTTTAGGTTGGAGTATCAACAGAGTATAATTCCATTGTGGGTAAAAGTGATTTTGATTAAGTCTCATAGTGTAATACAGTAATTTTTTCTGAGCTTCAGATTGTGCTCGAAACGTCATCAATAAATATTACTGTATAACACCGTGAGACCTTATCGAAATAATACTCCACCACAGTGCACAAGCACTATTCTTATATCGACAAAGTAATTTAACCACATTGTAATTATTTAGGTCTTCTAACCCTGACAATAACCCTAATCTTTTCTGAAACTAACCCTAACGTGAAAATACCCTTTAACTAACTGTAATCTAACTCGAACCAGCCCTAATGTAGCATTTATTAGGTTAACTTAGCCCTAACTTGTCCTTGGCTTAAAGCCTAACTTAGTCTTTCCCAAACCTAAGCTGTAACTTGTCAGAAATCCCATTTAATAGCATAACACTTAGATGAGCATATTTTATTGATGACAACATTATTTGCCAGGTTTCACTAAGTTGCTCAGTGAGCGTTTCAAGTTCATTGGTGCGGTTGCACTTCATTGGTCGTTGTTAGTGGTGCTTAAAGCTTAACTTCGCCCAAATTTCTTTATGTTTCACATGAAGATAACCACAAAAGATCATAGACACATGATATATATATATATATATATATATGACGCTAATGATGCCACGTGGCTGCCCAGGATTACGAAGAAGGAATAGAATTCAAGCCCTGTAGCATTGGCTAAAAGTCGCGCGCTTAAGCCAATGAGGCAGACATTTTCATTCATTTACATACAAGGGTAAATGTATGAGACTGTTAACCGAAATTAAATCATTAAAGTACTTTTCACCATGTAACAGAAGTCCTATAAGCTAAATATAATTAAACAACTACACCAAACAGCCACCCTAAATATAAGGAAGTACGGTGAAGTAACATATGTAGAACAGACTACACGCTATAATATACGGCATCAATTACCAGTATTTTTAACGTTGATGCAATTTTCACATAAGCAAAGACGAAGATAACAAAAATAAGCTACACTGACAATAACACTGGAGCAGACGTAAATTATCCGTGGAAATATAGTTCATTGATTTAAACACTCGACTTTCAACTAATGGCTTAAAGGGTTCGAATTTCACCTGCTTCATTTCTCTAGCATTACAGTTGTGACTCATAAACAGCTACCTACTTACTAGCTGAGTTTTGGTTAACTATAGCTTTACTATACTCGTGTTTACACCAAGCAAAGTATTGTCACATAATGTTGGAGAAACTAAAAGATGCTTTAAATGCACAACTCGGTCTGCAAGAAGCCAGATTTTAGAAAAGTAAATCATGTACGGATAAGATGACAACACTAAGCATAATTACCGGACAAAGCAAAGAATGACAGTCAAATCTCTATCTTAACGTCATCAACTTTTAAAAAGCCTTCGACAGCGTTGACCGCGAAGTGAATTGGAAACTGCTTCAACACTACGCAGTGCATCAAACCTTTATCAACCCTATTCAACAGCAAAAGCGCAATGCAATTTGTCAAGGAATCTACAACGGAATATTCAGCCAAGTATTTAAAATAAAGACAGAAATGTACGACAAGACTGCGCACCATCACGGATGGTATTCCTGATTGTGATGGACAAGACCAAGTGGTAGGGTGTGAGGAATGAGAAGACAAGGACACACTGGGTAGACAAGAAGGCTCTCGAGGATCTTGACTTCACAGACAGATGTATGTCAAGTGTCACACAAGACTAGAAGATCTACACGCGAAAACCAAAAAGTTGCTGGAAGAAACTTTCAAGTGAACATAAGGAACAGTAAACAGGTGGAGATACCCAGCGACTAACAACAACGAAAACCAGCATTGATCATTGTAAATGGGAGAAATTTGAACGAGTCTACCACCGATTTCACTTATCTAGGCAGCAGTGATACAAACACATACAACGCAGATAGGGATGTCAAAGCCAGGAACGAAAAGGCAAGACAAGAGGAAAGTGGAGATGGATCGGACTGACACTGAGGAGACAGCTGGGTGAGGACGCGGACCTTGCCACTAGTGAAAAACGAGTAGGAAACATGTTGGGCGTAGCTTACAGGGTGATATGAAAGATATTGTGTGAGGAGGAGGTCGAAGGTTGTGGGCACATCGTAGAATAAGATAAAAAGGACTATAAAGAGTAGGGTGAAATGGAGATGTACTGTTAAAGGCCTATATTCCCCCGCCCTCCAATCGGAAATTAAGGAAACCATAAGCGCATATTATAATATAAGACAAAAAACCACCAAAAAAATCAAACATACCTGAATTATCATTCTCTCCATTTGGTTTTGCGGTTTCGTCTATAAACGCCTGTGTTTGGTTACACAATGATCCAGCAAATAGATCATGTCGATTGTCGTGTTGAATCTGTGAATCTGTCACAGCATGAGAATTAATTAACAAAAATAGGGAATATCAGAGAGGTGAGTATACTTCGAAGCAAGCTTAAATTCTAAATAAACGCTAGGTATTTTTTCAAGTAGACATTACGGCTACACAAAACATGGTTCTTCTTCACATTTCACAAAAAAGGCCACGTGATTTGTGAGGATTGTCATTATTTTACAATCCTTAGATTATTAGACTTCGTCACAAACTAGTAACAGTTAGAGAGATCAAAGAATTCCAGTAGTCAAAGTGGCTGAATGGTCAACGATCTAGGTCTCGTAACTTGAAGGTCTTGGGTTTGATCCCTAGTGGGGTTGTGAGTGTGCACTGCTAAACAGTCCCCAAAATAGGACAAAAACAGCTATCTAATGCTCCCGGGTTTTTGATGATCTCTCTAATTGATGTTAGTTCGCAAACTAACCTGTCGCATATTATTCCTTCCTATCGATTCCCTTTCCCACCGAAAATGATAAGCGAAAAGAATTAGAATATCTTCACTTCAGAAACATAGTGTTTATAGGTTGTCAAAATCATGGAGGAAAAAATGGCTTCAGTCCTGATCACAGACTGCCACAAGAATTTAACTCTTGATGCTTGATTAACATCGGTGAAGTTTCGATGAAAGTCAAGATTGAAAGCGATTTATTTTGAAGTCTGAAATTAACAAAACAACCGAGCTATGATGCAGTACCAATAATGATGCCACAGACTCCTAATTTTGAAGGTGTGAAATACAGATTGTAAGAGGCACAGAAACAAAATTACATTGGTTTAGAAAATAGTGTTGCGTAATATGTAAAGTACTTCTTAACGAAGATAGGTGTGGACGGGATATGCATAGAAACAGATTGAAATCATACTTCTTATAACTGAAGATGAAAAAAACGAAGGGAATGAAATAACCAACAAACGAAAACTGAGGAGTCAAGCAGAGCTAGATCTATAGTAAATGTGAAGATTCCCCTTGATGCATACGGCAACAGCTTCTGTATTACAACGCACTGCCTTTTGTAGATTTTTGTTCACTTTGTAAATGACTCTGAATCATCAGTCAGTTGAGATGCTGTGAGACAGGTACTGACGAGGTGTTTGATTATAAAGCTTCCGATTTAACCAGTGCCGTCTGTTTGTAGCATTGCTGGATGGCAGCGTTCATATAACATTTTCTGAAGGGACGCGCGTAGAACGAACACCTATGTAACTAACTGCACGGGAGCGACAATAGTTTGAAGGCTAAAACCGGCTTAAACCATTAGCTGCTGTGACAGAAGTTCCTGCCAAATTTGACTAAAGAACTTTTGAAGCCAAACCTTATAATATCAATCAAATTATTGCATATATGATGCATTTATTGTTTGTTGTTCTTAATGAAACAGGCTAGTCTTGTCTTCTGAATATATCCTTGGGCTCAGGGCGGTAGAAAATATACGGGGGAAAACGATCGTATATGGTTTTCAGTCGAGTTATCTACTGCATCTATGTATCGAACCCGAAACTCAGCATTGTTATCGACCGTATGTGATGAGTGCAATCGGTCCACGTTTGTTTATACAATTTAAAATACCACTACAGTATATTCGAATTATTGAGAGTTTTATCCGATTCATCAAGTGATAAAACTCACCTAGATTAACACTTTGATCAGTTGAATCCATGAACGATTGTGATTGGTGGTCACCACATAATGATCCACTGAATAAATGATGCCGATTGTCATGATGGAATTGCGAATCTGTGGACAGAAGAGTAGGACACAGATAGGATAAAAGTGGTACTGCCAAAAAGAAAAACAGTAGAAAAAATATTTTTTCACATTTCGTAGTAAATCATGAAACTGATTATACGAGAGTAGTTAAATGGAACTGAAAATTTTATCGTATCCCTACGAAGAACAATGCAAACGCAGATATTTGTAGGACAGGACAGGCTACGGTCTAAACATATTTAGGACGGACACCCTCTAACGTTTCTCATCAACAGCGGGAATGAAGTGTGACTATCATCCATTGCTTTTATCTTACCTTATGCTAGAAGCCCAATTTCATCTTCGGACCGTAAACTACTTTCTTATCATGAGAATTTTTCTCGTTCTTTGCGTTTCGAATGGAACATAGGGTTTCAAGCTTTGAGGTTTCAGTAGCGGCGGGGGATGCTGTTGCTAACCTCACTTCCAATCTTCCCCTTTTTCACGGCCAATTACCCAGCTAGATGCCATTTAGGAGTGCGTTGGCTTATAGATATCCTCTTAATCTTTCTGGTATGACAAGAACGCGAGAAACAATCGTTCCAGCCACAATAACCCAATGGATATTTAAAACATGCGGGCCAAATAATCAGATTGGGGTAACCCCTGTCGGTTAGGTTGTAACATGTACTCTTAAATTACCAAAACAAAAGTACGTAACACAGTAACACGTGACTAAAAGTGGATAAGAACCAGAAATACGCTGAGATCGCCGAGTAACTTAGCACGTCAGGCCAGCGCTGGAGTGGAAACCTAAAAGAAGATAACGAGTTGGGTGTCCGAGAGTTACACGGAGGCGGTGAGAAGTTATGGGGCATCGTGCAGCCATCTAAAGAGGACTGCAGAGAATAGGTTGAAATGAACATGTTCTGTTGAAGCCCTATGTTCCACTAGGAATGTAAGAGAATAATAATGATGAGAAAAAAATAAGTGGGCCATCGACAGTCTAAATCTATAAAGCAGCACAAACACACACGCACACATATACTCAATCTGCTTATCGAAAACAATAATCAGTTGGCTTTTTTTTAAAGTTCTATCACACCCTACTTTTATAATTTCATCAAGTCCATAAATTGACCAGACTTCAAAGTAGAGATAATCTCAATCTTGAAGGTGAACAATCGAAGGGAAACGTAAACAAGGTCTAGCTAAAGTTTATGGGGCCATAAGAATCCATTAACCAGAGAGACCTTAACGATACTGTCCCATCATACTCACTTCTTGAGACCAACACTCATCGGTTATAGTATAATCCTATATCGGTTACCAGTATAGTGTGCTGAGTTTTCAAACTATGAAAACTTAAACTGAAGCGTTTTTCGTTGATACGCCAGTCAGTAAAGTAACTATCTGAAAAAAGACATCTTTCATCTGATATACTTATTGACTTTTCGAAGTAATTCCATCTACTTAAAGATACAAACGAAGTCAAATCACATCAACAGGATTTCGAGTTGATAAAAATAAAGATAAGGGTTTAAAGCTCATGGCATATTTATTCAAGCAATCGACTTTCAACCTAATGAGTCATCGGTTTGAGTATCACCGCGGTTAACTGAGCTTGGCTCATTAGCAAAGTAAGTAGAAGATCTACACCGGTTAATTGAGTCCAAACAATTCAGCTACGCTAGACCGAAAAGGAACTATTTGAAAATATAAGGGGAACAGAATTATCAAAATTACCTGAATGACTAATATCATTATTGTGATCAATGTCAACAGGTTTAATAGTCGAATCCATGTATTGTTCATCACTTAATGATCCGCTGAACAGATTACGTCGATTCGTATGATCAGCTTGAGAATCTGTTAGCATAAAAGAAAAACAAAAAATACGACGAAGTCAGGAAGACACCGAAAACATAAAGTATATAAATTACTTAATTGACAATGGATAGCAGCAAAATTCACGATCTTCACTTCGTCCTATTTGGGGCTCATCAACCGTATGTTCCTAAATCCTACTGAGATTCATACCCCATACATATCGCTTCAAACAAGTAACTTTGAGTTATCAATCCTAGCTACATGGACTTAGAATATACAGATGACATAGTCCTGTTAGGGCAGGATGCTGACAAAATGCAGTCTTCTGAACACCTTGAGCAGCAATCTCTGTATGTTTGGCATGCGATTCGCCCCCTGCAAAATGTAAGATGCTGCTACAGGACTGGACCTCGTCAACTCCTAGCTTAGTGAGACGGAGTGAAGTGATAGAACATGTTGACCACTTCACCTATTTGGGAAGTTGTATCACCACCAACGGACTGATTGGCGACGAAATCTCAGCACGGATCCAAAAAGCTCGAGCTGCTTTCGCTGACTTACACCATCTCTGGCGTAGGCGTGACATCCGGTTATCAACCAAGGGACGTGTGTACTGCTCAGTAGTTCGCTCCGTCCTTCTCTATGGCTCTGAAACATGGCCAATACGAGTTGAAGACATGAAAAGGTTGACTGCTTTCGATCATAGATGTCTGCGATCCCTTTCTTACGTTAGTTTGTTTAATAAGGTAAGTAATGTTGACGTTAGGCGTAGTGTTGGGCAGAGAGGGAAAATCAATCGACGAGGCTATAAATTTACATAGATTGAAATGGCTAGGTCAGGTGGTGCGCATGCCTAACCATCGCCTCCCCGACGGGCATTACTAGCTGATATGGGTGCAGGTTGAAAAAGGGTAAGTGGTGGCCAAACAAAAACATGGCCTCATCAATCCATGAAATCCTTGACAGTTAAACTGAGTCGGTCAGGTAGGGAGATGCAGACTCCCGGGTTGGGGGCCTCGGGACTCTAGGAATCAATGGCTGGAGACAATAGGTGACATGGCTGAAAATCGTTGTCAGTGGCGCAGATGTATTCAGTCTCTGTAATCTTTCATATTTCTTTCTACCATTACCCATTCTGTTTCACTCTTATACCTGTCAAACTCTATCGATTCTCTTCACTCATCTTCTTGTCTACCTTTGTGTGTGTGGTATTTGGAACGTGGCAACTCGAAGTGGTGCACTTCGGTGCCAAGTTCTATGTTGAATCCAGACAGACGGACAGATCCTAGCTATATAGAGACATCGGTTCAAGGAACTCATACATCAAGAAGGAAATGACAAACATGAATAAATACACAGAAAATAAATTTAGTTATTAATAGTAAAGTTAGTTAAGTGAAAAATAGGAAGCCTAAATTATAACGAAAAAAAACATTGTATATGCTACAAATGAACAGAGTTTCACTCTGCAATGAAGCACTATAGTAACTTTTAAAGAAGTCCATATGGAACTCAGTAGATCAGTATATCCTTCTAAGTCCTTGCTGGAGCTGACATCAGTTTGCGAACCATTAGAAAACCACGGTGTACTCAAGAGCTGTTTCAGCCTAGTTTGCAACTCATCGGTAGTAAGCAGTCACCACTAGAGTTCGAACCCAGGATCATCCGACTACAAAATGAGCTCGTAGATTATTCAGCCATTAGGACTCAACCAAACGGCCCATGAATACCAACTTGTGCCAATTCGAGGGACATGGCGCAGCCACCAGCCAGTGTTATCATCAAGTAACTGTTCTCTTAACTGACTTGGTGAATGCTGCTGGTCGACTTCTCACTAGAACACCAGGTACCTTCCCCTACAGAACTGGTCGCTAGTGAAGAACCAAGTTTCCCTTACCATCTGGTTTTCCAGTGGTTCTCTAACCGATGTCAGCCTTCCATCAAAACTGCAAACAATCAAATCCCTACAAACCAACACTTAGAAATTGATTTGATGCTACCATTTTGTAATGATTGTATTTGATAAACATATACTATCCATCCGATAAGAGATGATATTTACAACATAATAAATAAACCCACTTTATGTTACATACAGGCAGTCGTGTTTAATCCTGGTTTCATACTTGTTCACACTCATCATACAACGCGTGTTGTTATGAGGAGGTCTATTTTCCAATTGAGATTCTAACTCGCCTTATAAAGTATCAGAATCAGAAACTTTATCATTAAGATATTTAAATCATTCGGGTGTGAAGACGTCACTCATTAGCTTAAGCACTCAACGTTTAGTCATTGGATCCCGGGCTTGAATCCTGAACTACTACCTACTTTAGCATGGGTAACGTGGGTGGTATTATCAAGGCTCATAAAAATAGGTTGGTGTATGACCTGTTCAGCAAACTGAGTTTAAACAATGACTTCAAATTATTCAAACATAAACTAAAACACTTACCAGTATTATTATTATTATTCATAACGGATTCAGTAGTTGAATCCATAAATGGTTGTGATTGATTAAATAATGATCCACCGAATAAATTATGTCGATTTTCATGATTTGTCTGTGAATCTATGCGCAAAAGACAAAAGAATAACAAAAATATTAAAACAGTTTAAGTGCCATGTCACACAAACTCGAAGACCTACACGCGAAAACCAACAAGTTGGTAGCAGAGACTGCCAGCAAAGATACAACTTCAAGTGAACATAGAAAAGACTAAGGAGATGAAGATAACCCCACCGACCGACAACAAAAAAACCCCAGCACTAATCACTATAAACGGGAGAAATCTGAAAGAGGTCATCACCAATTCCACTTATCTAGGCAGCACTGACTCAACTACAGGCAGCACACATAAGCATTTCGAAGCCAGGATCAAAAAAGCAAGAGAAACCTGCATTATTCATCCTAAGACCAGTACGGAGGAAATCTACTGCACAAAATATAAACAACAAGATTCAGACTGTAAATACGGATGTTAACGCAGTTCTTCTATACGGTTCAGACACTTGATTTGTCACCACCAAAAGCACTTCCAACAGCTGGTTTCAAACTTTTACCAACAGTTGCCTTCGCTTGTCACACACTGAGGATCAAATGGCCGACCAGAAACAACAAGCAACAGGGAACTCTGAAAAAGACCCAATCAAGGACCTACTGACCAAAGAAAATGCAGAAGAAAGTGGAGATGGATCGGACTAGCCCTGACGAGACCGTTGGGTGAGAACGCGCACCTTGCCCACCAGCGGAAAACGGTTAGGAAACGACATGTTGGGCGTAGCTTACGGGGTGAAATGAAAGATATCATATGAGGAGGGGATCGAAGCGTGTGGATCATCGTAAAATGAGGTAAAAAAAGCACTATAAAGAGTAGATTGTAATGGAGATGTACTGTTGAAGGTCTATTTTCCCCAACCCATCCCCAATCGGAAACTAAGGAAACCATAAGTACATGATACAATATTGGTTATGTTATGATACAAACACTATCGAAGAAATCGAACATACCTGAATTATCATTCTCCCCATTTGGTTTCGTCGTCTCATTTATAAACGCCTGTGTTTGATGACACAATGATCCAGCAAATAGATTATGTCGATCGTCGTGTTGAATTTGTGAATCTGTCACAGCATGAGAATTAATTTAAAAATATGGAATATCAGAGAGGTGGCTTAGCGGTTAGAACGCTCGCCGACCATGCACATGGTCCAGGGATCGATTCCCGGCCGGCGCACTCCTTTACCTCGCTAAGCCAGGAATAATCCTGGTAAAGAGGAAAGGTTGGGCATGAGGCTAGCAACCTCATCCTGTAAAATAAACACTGCTACAGAAACTTCAAGCCACTAGCTTGAAGCCCTATGTTCCACAGGGGAACGTGAAGGAAAAATTATTATTTATTATTAAATAAACTTTGAAGTAAGTGAGTCTTAATAAACGCTGAGTATGTTTTCAAGTACACATTAGAACTACTGCCCCCTTATGCGCGCAGCAAAAGGTAATGCAGATACTTTTCTACCACCAACAACAAACACCAATCACTATCAACGCAATAAATTTAAGCGGTGTCGCTTCTTTATATTATCTTGGCGACATTGTTTCAACTACAGACAGAAAGGAGGAAGATGTCAAACCCTGGGTTGAAAAGGTAAGATAGACCTTCATTAGTCTGAAATCACTCTGGAAACCTACTACACTAAACATAAAGAACAAGATTCAGATTTTCAACACTAATGTAAAGTCTGTTTCCCACATATTTCAGAGACCTTGGTATGTCAACAAAAGCATTTCGAACAGGCTTCAAGTTTTTATCAATAACTACCTTCGCTGGCTTTACGCTGCAGATAAGATTGCCAGTCAGAAAGGATTCTCAACAAGGAACTCTGAGGTGAAACAATCCAATCAGGAACATATTACCCAACAAGTATTCCGAAGGAAATGGTGATTATTCGGAGACACTGTGAGGAGATTGTAGAGCAACACTGAGCTTCAAGTCCTTTAGTGGGACCCGAACGGATAACGACGGGTTGGGAGTCCAAGGCTAAGGCAAAGGAAGTTAGAGCCTAAGGGCAATCGTGTAGCTAGCTGAGAAAGATTGCTGAGAACTAGGTGATATGAAGATGTGCTGTTGAAGCCCTATGATCCACTTGGAGACTAATGGAATAATAATACATACATATATAAATAGCAAAAAGCGAAATTCATAAAATTACCCGAATTATTAATCGATATAACAGTCTCAGGTCTACAGGCTTCTGAATGACTAGATATTGAACCTCCAAAGAGATTATATCGGTCCTCATGGAGCGCTTGAGAATCTATTGAGGTGGAAATAAAAAAATTTCAAATAAAATAAAATGGATAACAAATTGAAATTAAACTCAAACAAAAATAAATTTTAATAAGTAACACGAAGGTGAAACCGAATGCCGAAATATCTATCATTTCCTTCATGCTAGATCATAACAGGGTTCGAACGAGAGGCCCCGCAGACTACAGTTATTTACCTGATAGATGGTCATAACGCGTCATGATTGCGGTGAAAGGATGATTTGTGTATCAGCTGGTGAATTGAAGGGGTTAGGAATCAGGTTACTGCAACTCAGACTTTCACGTCCAATTACCACGCACTAAACTCTTGATAATTTGCATATATCAGTTCATCACCCGTCTTTGTGGAGCCAGTTACATTGGTTATTCGACACAAATCCTGTCTAAAAGTGTTCAAGAACACTATCCCACATGGCTGCAGAGGGACAGAAGTGGCTCTATGAGGAGTACGTTAATTGAATACCTTGTCAACACTGGTCGTGCCATCTCAACGAAGTAATGCACAAAGTGAAGAGTAACCTGCCAAAGGCGGTATGCCTTTGTCTCCTTTGCATTACTAAAGTTCTAGCCATTCAGACAGAAAAAGCAGACCTCCACATAAAAATGAAGTGCTTGGGTGGGGAGTATTCATGAATTCGCAGATTGACGGTTAAAAACAGGCAATTAAGGAGCAAAAACAAGCATCCTTTAAAATTAACATTACACAGAAATACCTGAAGTGTTATTTCTTTCCAACGGATCAATTTCGCTATTGATTACATCTTGAGAATGATTGTATAGTGATCCAGCAAACAAATTACAACGATCTTCATGTTGTACCTGTGAATCTGTTTGAAAGAGAAAAGACAACACCACCACTACCATCAGTAAAGAAAGCACAGAGTCACCATTAGAAAAAATATAACATAAAATTTTAATTCAAAAAAACCCTGGAAGAATCAGTAATGAAGAAACAATGAATTGAAAAATAACCAGGACAATAAACCTTTAAGAATACACCAGAAATATATTTTCACGAAGTTCGTATAAGTGAGCCTTTACTCAAGCGTAACTAATAAATAAGTCAGTGTCATTCATGAGGTTTTAGAATACAATGGTAAGGACTGATAATACTATCCTGTCACCAAGGCTGAAGTAGGCGGAATGGCACTCGAACCCAAAACCCATTATCTGAAAGTAAAGTGCTTAAGACAATGAGCAACATTGCCATTAGTCCTAACTATACATATGTTTGTTCAAATCTGAGTGATAACGAATGTATAGATCGATGATTGTCTCAAGGATTTGTCAACCATCTCGAAAATCTTAACCGTACACACGTAAATTCCACTAGATTATTGCCATATTTTGTTCAGATCATCGTTTGCTTTCTTACAATCTAATTTTGCCACAGTTAATATCATACATTAACATACACATTATTGATGAAGGCAGAGATTGAGGATATGCAATATTGACTGAGTGATTTTCAACGTAGAAATTTGAACAGAAGTGCAGCAGTTTAATTTATTATACTACTCTATATATCAAATACAAGTAGAGAAAAAGAGGAAAAATCAAAAGAACCGAAATGAGCAGAAACGTACAAGATAAAGTACCGTAACAAGGAGAAAAATGGAGAATTATTCGTTTTGGAAGATTAGAAAGAGTAAATGTGTCTGTTCAACAGAGAAAGATTTTGAGCTATTTTACCAACAGTTATAGACTTCATAAGCTAATACCACGTTCTGGTTTAACCACCCGTAACTGTTTTCCAACCCAATCTCGTCAGCTAACATTACTCACTCAGCGTGATGATGGTTCGGCGTATGCACAACACATGTCCCAGAGACCGTAGTTCAGTGAAATAAGGGTACTCGTAAAGAAATTGAATTTATCCACTGTTCGTTAGTGATTGACTAAAGAATGGACTTCTTGAAGTACCCACGCGAAGTAATGATTAGTGGAGTTAATTTTGAAGTTAGGTAACAGGATTGACACCAGCTTTTAACACTGATTGGAGGCGGTGGTTTATCGTGAATTAACAGAAGTTAACATTTATTGGTCATTCGATGCTGACTGACACACGCACGTCTCATAACCTGAAGTTTATGTGACAAACGAACCAACACGTTGAATTTAACGTAGCTGATAGTGCTCATCACCTTAATCAGATACTTTCTTGCTTTTACAAGTCAAATTGACAGAGGTGAATAGTATGACAAAGAGTAAGTGTTAAGTAATTAGACTAACTCTATTTATGTATGTACCTTTTAGATTCATTTGTACAGAACTCTAAAATCAAACTTTGTTAGGGAGCATCAATCCACTAGTGAAAATGTGTCACATTGGGACAAGTATTTAACTTCCTTATAGACAAGATTTTATTCTGATAAATCACACAGTGATTATGAGCAATAGTTTGTGCTCGAAACGTTATCAGTTAATCTTACTGTATAACACCGTGCGATTTATTAAAATAAAATCTTATCTATAATGGAGTTATGCTCTACTACAGTGCCCAAGTTTTATGCTTATACTTAACTTCCCGTTGGTGGGAACTGGGTTCGAGCTCCACTCCACCTACTTAAAACTTGGAGTCAGGGTAGTATCATCAGCCTTCACACAATGAGTGTGGCTCATATCCTGTTACATGAAAATCTTACAATCCACATAAACATATGTTATAGATATGAAAAAGAATTAAAACAAAAACATTATAACGTACTTGAAGTATCATTCTCTTTAACAGATTCATTTGTAATTAAATCGGTAAACTCCCGTGACTGGTCTTCATCACATAGTGATCCACCAAAGAGATTGCGACGATGTTCATGATGCATTTGAGAATCTATTAAAAGATAACATGATATGTATCCACATATATATATTTATGTGTGTGTATGTTGGTCTCTCTTTCTGTTTGCTCGCTTAGTCTGTGACCGTTTCACTTGTATGAACCTGTCTCCTTTAACAATGTATATTCCCCTTATATTATATATAATATGAGTGTTTGTTGACAGTCCGTTGCTTAGTGACATATATCCATATATGGTGGTTGTTGACATGTCTGCTATATTTTGCTATATATATATATTTCGTTCTCACAATTTGTGTGACTGACTTACTTACTTTGGTGTGATACCACTTATTGCGTCTCCTTGTGTTTGGAAAATAGAAGTATCATCGCAAACCTAGTGGTCTTCTGATTTCCGCCTTCTTGCGTCAGGACTATTAGTTTCTCGACCAGTCCATAACAATAATTTTGTCGACGAGTACATAACAATTTGGCGACAGGGAAAACTAATACATAACATAACAATACGATGAAATTATCTGACTGAAACCAGAATAATGAGTTAATCATACTAGTACTAACTTATGTGTTCCTCTTATCCATCCAAGGAGTGTCTGCTAAGCAGTTGTTGGATCTGCTCTTCTCTATGGGCTGAGAAATATGACCATTGACAGTGGAAAAGATGTAGAGTTTAGTCTTCCATGATCACAGGTGTTTGGGTTTTACCTTTCGTGTTCAGTAGCATAATATGTTAGAAGTCTTAAGGAAGGAGAGAAACTTAATTGATGAGATTGTGAAAGTGAATCGACTGACATAGATAGGAAACGTGTTACACATGTAGAGTCATTGCCTTACGCTAGGGCCAGTGTTAATTGACATAAAACTAGATTGAGAAAGAGTTAGTAGTTGTCAAGCCAAAATATTTCTCAGATCCCTATTGGTTTGAACCACGTAGGAAGGTGTAGCCCACCTGACTGAGGTCATTGAGATTCCTGATAATATGGTTCAAAATCGTTTGAGTAAAACAGATACACCATTCTGTATTTTTACCGAGTGTGACAGACAACTTGAACTGCTGCACTATTGTGCAGTTAATTCAGTTTGATAGCCACCTAGTCATATATAAACCATTAAAATTAACATATAAAGTACGCACCGGAGTTGTCATATTATAACAAAGGTTCAAAATAACAAAAATACCTGGATGACTAATATTTTTCTCCGTTGTTTTACTGGCCAAATCAGTGAATACTTCTGATTGCTCAGAAACTGAGCCACCGAATAAATCACGACGTTTCTCATGTTCAATTTGTGAATCTTAGTAAAGAAAGCCAGAGACGATGAGGAGAAAACAGTGCATAAATAATACTATGCACACAAGACTTGTAAAAGGTACGCAGAGATAACAGTAAAATAAATTCTTTCAGATACACACGAATCGATCATAGGATGTAAACCGATGTGGTTATCTAAACTTATGTATGTTGATTATATCGGTCGACAGTGAAATTCACTCCTTGCACAAAATGACAACACTACTGGACACTATCAAGACTTTGATTTAATGTTAGATAATATGTATTGGTTGAAAAAAACGCTTATTATATAACTGATTCCCTTTGATTCCGGTTGTAACATAGGGCTCCAGCAGCACATCACCATTTCACCCTATTCACTATAGTCTTTTTTCAGCTGGCTTCACAATTGATCATAAGCTTTGATTTTCTTCTCACAGGATATTCTCCATTTCACCCTCGGATGCTCACTACGTTGTTCCTCATTCACGTTTCACTCTAGGGTTCGGAAAACAATGTCAATCAACTGTCTCATCAGGTTATGTTCAATTAATTTCAATTTCCTTCAGTATATTTGCTAGGCAAAAGGTACCTGGTTGGTTAGCTGCACAGCCATAATTCTTTGTTGTTCATTCTTTCTGAACATTCAACTTTCAATATGGGGCAAAAGCAGCTAATGATGAAAGTCTGCAGCAGACTGTTGAAAATGCTTTCCATAACGCATCAAGTCTCTGAACCATTTATTCAATAAACTGATGTCTTTTAGGTGGCTTTATTTTCCACAACTGTACAATTACAATCTTATGTATTTTCATTCTACAATATTGGTTTATCAGAAGTGTTATTTAAGTACTGAATGTGTGAGGATCAAAATCACTGGACTGGATGAGTGACTTTCGTTTAGCCTATTGAGAGGAGCTACTGATAAAATAAGAGTGAGATTGAGAGGTGTTAGGGTCCCTTAAATTGCTTCTTTTACTAATTTAATTTCTTTTAATTTAAATTTGAATTATCACTTCTTGGATTTCTACATCACGGTGTGAATCTTCATTTTCTCCATTGTCTGATGACCACTCTCCTATAGGAGGTCAATCGCGAGCCTGAATAGCTCAGTGGTAACGTCTCTGACTGCAGCACTGGGTGACGCGGGTTCGAATCTCAGAAGGGACGTGAGTTCCTTCATGGCTGCAGATACGCCTTGCTGACGAGTGCCAACTAGCACGAAACCGAGGTCCAAGCCTTCCTACCGATTGCCTCCAACCATCTAATATCATCAAATCGATGTTCAGCGTGATGGCAAGCTACTTAGAATGGTGGCCACAATGCAAACCTGACTGATAGAATTCAGTCTGCACCAATGAGAGGACTAGACACATCACACTAGTTACTAGTGTCAAATCAATATATATATATATATATATATATATATGTATAACTATTCATTTTGAGTGGAGCATAGGGCTTCAAGCTACAGCTAAGAATTTTCGGTGGCAGCGATTTTATTTTAACGGGATGGGGTTGCTAGTCTCACGCCCAACCTTCTCTCTTTACTGGGCTTACTACCGGTTGAACGAGGTTTAGGATCGAACCCCGCACCACATGCGTGGTTAGCGAGCATTCTACCGCTGCACCGTCGACGCACGTATATATATATATATATGTGTATATATATGTAAAGAAAAGATCAGCAATAGGGACCCCTGGAAGCGAACCAACCAGGAACCGCTTGTGCAACAAATAAGCAGGAAGAAATGGAGGTGGATTGGCCATTCTCTGAGAAAACAAACTATCAGGTGACATCACTAGACAAGCCATCGCTCGTGTGGAACCCGAAAGAGAATCGGCGAGTTGGTCGTCCGAGAGTGGGGTGACTTGGAGGAGGTCATGTGAAGAGGAGATGAAAACATGTGGGCAGACTTGTAGCCAGGTGAAAAGTCTAGCAGAGAACCGAAGGCAATGGAGACGCGCAGCTGAAGCCCTATGTTCCTCTAGGAATTAAAGGAAATAATAATAATATATAAAGAAATATTTGCCGCAAAAATTAAAAACGAAGTTGAATTAAATAGAATCGATAACAATACATATGAAAGTGAAAACTTACGAACACTCATATTTGCTTCTTCAGATAATATCAAAGTAGGATCCAAGTCGCAGAGTGGTTGAGTAGGTTCTTGAGATAACAAGACAGTGTCTTGAGATGATAGATGATTTATATTACCTAAAATATGATTTATAATCACCGGAGAAAGGTTAATATTTAGGGGCAGAAATAAAAATGATAATTGACAGCAGGCAGATGAGGTGAATCCAAAGAATCTCTACCTTAAAACGTCAAGTTCTAGTTGTAGCTTACAATCACACTAAGAAATGTGTGTTATCAGCTATTTGGCATACTACTGGTGAAAGTCATCCCAGAGATAATCACTCACATCAAATAATTTAGTAGAAATCTTAGAGTTTTCTTCATTCCATAAAATAAGTTCAAATAGTATTGTTAGGACTCAGTTAATCGGAACAGATTTCTTATGTACCATGCTACGTGAGTGACATTTTATTACAAGACGGTTGATTCTACTACTTAGCTATCCAGGCTAAAATAGGTTAGAAAGGGATTCGAATCCTGGATGAACTGGCTAGAAGTTGAAAAATTACACCAATGAGTCGTATCTATAATATCCAGTGGACAATACTAAGGCATCAAGCAATAATAATAAATGCTGAGTTCACTGACAATACCACCACCATCACCACCCATTCATCCGAATGCATGAAAATTTTACTGCTGGTATGGTTTGTTCATTTGAGATCTTGTCTTTCATGCATTTAGCTTTATGTTCGAATCTCACTATTACTCTAACTATTTCCACCTAGACCAACTGTGGAAAATCGTATCACATGGTGCTGTGGATGATCACAGACTCTCAACTTCTAACTGCTGTTGCGAGAATTCAAACAATGAGCAGCTGATCAAGGTTTGGACAGCTATATAATATTATCATTAGTTGTGTCACAAAATTTTGTGACTAACTGCTGACTACAAGTGGCAAGACAGCCTATTACGTGTAAAAGTAAAAAACTAGTTGGCAAGTTAACAAAATGTATGAGAAATTAACTATTATGGCTAACATATTTTCTGAATTATATACATATAAAACAAACTACTAAAGACAGATATACTTACTGCTCAATAGTGTTAAATTATCATCAATTGATTCTTCATTAAAGGACTCCGACCGGGACGCTAAGACTACAAATAAGAGTCATATCATCAAAGAGGTTAAAAAAGGAATTACAACTCTAAAGGCAAAAATACAATACTGAGTATGAATAATAACAAGAGTAACAATTAAGGGTGGAATAGTGTTTATTACCCAACTACGAGGTAAATGTTCATACACTTGATAATGAGCTAAGCTCTATTGTGTTATATTACTTCTTTGCTTTGACCTCGATAAGTAAAGTTGATTTAGAACTGGCTGTGGTTATAGAAATGATGGCTCGGTTTGCTGAAGCTATCGTGATAAAACGATTGAAATCTCACTTATGTATTCAAAAAGGATCCATTGTGAGCTTTCAGTCACCCTGATAAATCTCACTTTAGTAATTCTTCGTCTTCTCAGTTCATCATTTTGTTTCAGCGCACCACCCCCACGTCAGTTTTCAGTTGAATTTCATAAGAAACTTAATTTTTGATTCTTAGGATTCTGCTCACACAGGTATCTTTCTATTCGATTTTGCACACATATCAAAAAGCGTGCTCGTAGACCATTCGGCCACTGGAACCCGATCCAATGTGCCATGAATCCCAACTTTTACAGATTCATGGTATATGCTGCGCAATTGCTACTCAACGTTGTCAGAGAGTAACTGTTCTTTTATGTGACTTGGTAGACAGCTGGTTACGACTCCTCATTAGAATTCACCGATGACGTTGAGTGACGGATGGTGCGATATATGTCGCTGATTGGCAGAAGTTGCAATTCATGGGCTGTTACGTTAGGTCGCAGTGGCTGAATGGTCTACGAGCTCGCCTTGTAACCGGAAGGTCTTGGGTGCGTATTGTTGAAGAGTTCCAAGCTGGTTCGAAACAGCTGTTTAGTACTCCCTGATTCCCCGGTGGTTCTGTAACAAATATCAGCTCCTAATCAAACCTGCGACCAATCGAATCCCAGCAAACCAGCATTTGATAAAGTAAGATTGGATAGCACAGTCTTGTGACTGAAAGTGACTGATTAATATTCACCTTTACATGATGATTGCAGTTGAAGTATAAGCTTACATCCCTGTAGGATTGGGACATCAACAGCAACCATTAGAGGTGATCATCTGCTGCTGTCTCTCTCCCTCTTGTTCATTAGGATCTGAAATTGCATGTAAATGCAGTCGGTAGTGAGACATACTTATTGTGATACAAAAAGTGAAACTATCAGATTGCTTAAAACCTTAATAGATAGAATGTGGTCTGGACCTGTGACCTATCCATAGCACTATATATACTGAAAACGTCTGACTGGTATTGAACGGAGAGCTAAGTAGCATATGTACAGATAGACAAATCTTTAGTAGTAAAACAAATGGGATTAAGATCTAGTCTATGTTAGCATTTTACAGCTTAGTAGAGGAAAAAAAGAGTCGGAAACCTGCACATCGCGGATGCAATTCTTATTGATGCTGAAATTTTCGTGCTGGACTTCAATCACCACATCAGTACATTAGTTGAACGACAATATGAACAACTTAGCGTAGTGGGAGATGAAAGAGAATCACTGGACAACATAGCAATCATTACAAGTAAAGTAGATCATCTCAATGTACACAATGTACACTAAGCCTATGAAATGTTCCCTACAGTTATAAACCTAAAGTGTTACGGAAGAAATTTCATGAAATGGAACAACAACACAACAAGAGAAAACTATAATAAATCTTACGTAATTGACTATTAGGTCTTTGAGAGTAAAGTAATTCATACGGTGTATTATTCCATTGACTGTGTGAAGATGAATCACGTGATAGACGTGATTTATTTTCATCCTAATATTATCAAAAGAAAGAAATATTTTAAAATAACAGATGAAAAAGTAAATTGTATTAGTTTGTTTATAATGATGATATTACTTCGTATGTATGGTACAAAGTAGGGACCGAGAAGTGAACTAAAAGTCAATTGCCCTGATAGGATAAACAACAAGGAAATCTGGAAACGAATTAATCAAGAACCTGTCGACTAGTATATATATGCAAAAGGAAATGAAGATGGATTGAACACACACTCAAACAGGCAAGAGTAAACAATAGACACCAAAATCAAATGACCACGGTTCGGCCAATCAGATATCACAGCATTCCAAATGGATGCTAGTCATAATCCTCGTAGAAAATGTCTCCTAGATTTGGTTTTTGACTTCTCTGTGGAAAATGTGTTGATAGGAAGGAATAAAACATGCCTATGTGGAGTGTTAATGACTCCGCAGAAGTATTGTCGGGCTATTGATGGTTATACATTCAGATGCAACCACCTTGTATGAGGAAGTATCTATAAGTTGGTAAGTCATACCTAATTGGGGATTCTTTCAGACACTTTTTTCTCGAAATCAAAGCTCTCCCTTAGTAATATATTGTGTACATGCAGCCAGTATCTGCTACAGCTGGAGAAATAGAGAATACGTTGGTTTGATATGTCTATAACCACTTCTATGAGAATCTGGGACCAGTTTTTGCAGCATATTACGGATATATAACCTATATGAATCATTTTTATTATATATATATATATATATATATCGTAGATACACTCCTTTGTAAATTAAGTACCACTTTTCACCTAGGGGGATCTGACTGGCCGTTTCAAGGTCGTCTGAAGTTGGTGTCTATTCCTTACTGTTGCCCTCAAACCATTAGGTAACGTCCCGCTCCAGTGGGACCTGAATGGGAAACGAGTTGGCCATTGGTCCGACGGTGATATGAAGGAGATCGTGAGAGGAGGAGGTGACAGCCTATGGATAATCGTGGAGAAGGACTTCAGAGAATAGGATGGAATGGAAATGCACTGTTGAGGATGTTCCACTGGGAACTACTCAAGAGAACGATAATAACCTGACTGTGTGCCACACTGATGACACTACTCAGGTGAATAGGCTGAAATAGTCTGAGCAGGATTCGAACTCAGGATTTGTTGGATAAAAGTCAATTATCTAAGCCAATGAGCTAAATTTTTACGACGAATCTGCATAACTAAATATCATGGAAAAGAAGTTTGCTTGAGAATCAATGTGGTATATGGATTTCTTCACATTTTAAGGCACAGGCTATTTAACAGCGTTATGAAGTATTTGAGTATGATCAAATAACACGAAGGTATAAAACTGGTCTGTGTCGACTTCCATTTTAAAGGTGTGGGATGAAGTGATTATATGTGTTGACCACTTTTACTTATTTGGAAAGTTGCATCGGCTCCAATGAACTAATTACTGACGAAATCTCCGCACGGATACAAAAGGCTTGTGTTACACTTACCAATTTAAGCCATGTTTGTGATATCCTATTATTGACCAAATGGCTTGTGTACTAAGCGACAGTGCATTCTGTCTTTCTTTGTAGCTATGGCATGTGGCCATTGAAAATGGAAGCTATCTTTGATCATAATTGTTTGCGTCCTGTCTTCCGTGTTAAATGTTCAAACATTTTGCAACTTACAATTGATTTTGTTTAGGATGAACTTTCGAAATAAAACGAGCTCATATTATTCTGCGAATATGTTCGTTCATTCGTTGCTCAAAGAAAATCGTTTACATAAGATAAATTGTTTTGAAGCTAATACGCTACCTAGTTTGTGTTTAAAATCAAAATAAGTAATCATGAATATTACGAATAAACTGTATTACAACAGCAGGGGTTAACTTACACCGACAGTAGTTGTGTCTAAACGTGTTGAAGCCAACATGGATCGAGGATTCATAGTTTCTATAAGATATCAAAAAGAAGACGCAATGAGCACAGACACCTTATGCATTGACTGATCACTACATCAGAAAGAATTCGAGTTGAATCTAACGAGGTAAACTGTTGATGAAGTCGGCTTCAAAGAACCTAAGCATTGGTCTGATGTTTGAACCATTTCACTCTGCCTAACAAACATTATCATTTAGTGGCAAGTGGTGTCCAACTATTCATATCAATCATTCATTAGCATACAACATTTAATTATGAAATTAGCTTGACGGATGTGAGTAAACTGAAAATTCAAGAGAAAATTATGCTTTACAACAGACAATACTATCATAATATTTATCACACGGATAATTTGAAAACGACAAAGATGACTTACTATCTAAAATGCTTGAACAATCAGTAGCAAAAAGATCTACATCACCAGGACCTAAACTGCCTTGTTGACGTCTTTGTGGATGAAGGAAACTGAAATTGGCATTACAAGCTACAAAGAACAAAAAATGAAACAACGTGGAATTATGAAGTAAATTCAATTTTCAAGGGGTTCTAGCGAGAAGTAGTGACCAGTAGGGTGCAGCAGGTCAGGTGTGAGGACAAATACTCTCCGAAGACATTGGCTGGGGTCGCGCTATGTCGTGAATTGGCAAAAGCTGGAATTCATGAGCCATTGGATCGGGTCTCAGTGGCTTAGTGGTATACGAGCTCACCTTGTAACCAGAAGGTCCTGGGTTCGAACCCCGATGGGCGCGTACCGCTGAAGAGTCCCAAAAACTAGGACGAAACATCTTTCCAGTCCTCCCAGGTTTTCCAATGGTTCTTCAACTGATGTCAGCTCATGATGAAATCCTCCAATAAATTCAATTTATCAGTTGCATAAATTAATTTTAAACTATTTGAAAAAGAATTAGCGGAAATTTAAACAGCACAAATAAAAACAGCATTTCATGGAATGGAATCAATTCAAGTTGACATGCACACACACATATAGGATGAAACTTCAACCACTAGCTCATAGTATCATGAGGACACCATATGATGAATATACTACATCGCTTCAAAAACTTTAACCAGGTATAAACTGAATTTTCAACGAAGAACTTTGCATAAAAATGTAGAAGTTCAAGTTCCCACTCTTCATAAAGGACATTTTTCTGTAAAAGGAACAATCAGATGGAAAAATGTGGATTTCATGCATCTGGGAGATAAAAAAGATGAATGTATTTCCGTCACTCAAGTGTATAGTGGTATCTTTGCCTGTCACTTGGATGGCCAGGTTCCATTCGCAGTCGGGGAGCTGGTTTGCTCCCGTGTTAGTTGGTATAATAGAGTGAGTAATATTGAGGTTAGGTGTCGATTATTAGGTAGGAAGGGCGGGGGGCTAATCGACGGGGTCATGAAGCCATATCGATTGAGATGGTTAGGATATGTGTTACATATGCGTAACCACCGTTCGCCTTCCTCGACAATGGACAATGTCAGCTAACATATGATTAGGTGGGAAAAGAGCCAATGGTGATCATGGACATTAGTCCATGAATTCTTTGACAGTTAGTTTGAGTCACGTAGGAAGATTTATGTTTCCTAGTTGGGATTCCAAGAACCAATGGCTGGAGACTATTAGTGTTATGGCTCAAAATGGCGCAGATGCATTCACACCCTGTGATACCCGATATCTATCAAACCTTGTTACTATTCTTTCTCTCTTACATTTCTGCTAATTATCATCCTCCTGAATATCTTTTTTCCTCTCTTTTGTCTTTCTTTGTGTGCTACATGTAATTTTGCTACTCAAACTGCTGCATTTCTGTACAAAGTTGTATATTTAAACCAGCTAGTCAGTCAATCGGCGCCACTGAGAACAATTTCAACTTATTAGCTGGAGTATTTATTGATTTGCACCAATTCGATTGGACTGTCTCAGATTGCCACACACTACCTAGTCAATAATCTCTTACAGACAATCTTAAACATATATATGGATTCATATAATCAGTTCTTGTTACTTTGCCTCATTGTATATTAGAAACTAACCGTCAGAGACTTCCTGCTTTGATCTGATCACTTATAACTAGCTCGAATGGTTTATCGAAACATTTAATAGCTCCATGACATCAGTAACACATGTTTCAGCTATATGAGTCTATGAGGACTCATCATCTTATCCAGGTTCAAAAGACAGTTACTAGGATCAGTTTTCCATGTACCAGTCTGTGAGCTACATTTATTGTACGGGAGTTGAAGATACTACCCAGTTAACGTTGACTGCAATAACAAATCACTTCATGAGATAATGAGTATTCACCAGATGAAGTTATTAAGACATGAATTACACACACTGAGCCACTATTCACTAAGTTCAGAACAGCATTAATGAATGATAACTAAAGATGAATTTGCCGCCACCATTATAAACAATCTCCAGCTATGTCCCAACTATTGACCTTAAGCATCGCAAGGACCTCAGTTAAGCAATCTCCATATCCCTACATAACTTAGATCAATGACTTTAGAGATTGATGCCATATTACATTCTGTTATTCTACAATTCTTCTTCAAACTAATCCTACTTCAGATAACAAAGAAGACGTTGGCTCCATATACGTAAAACATGTCTTAGCTATCATAATAAATTGATTTCCTCTCTTGACTTCACAATTTTAGACTAACCACGTGTTGTTCCGTTTAACGTGAGCACTGAAATAAAGACCTTCTGTATCGACTTAAAATGACCGCTTCTCATAACCATAGAGTAGGATGGGGAGAATATTACACATGCTCATTTGACAGGTAGCCGGATATGGGCCAAAAATGACAAATCGGAATATGTTGATAAAGAATTAAACCGTCTGGTAACTATCGGTTTACACTATCGCTAAGGACAATAATAACATAAAATATGACGCTAGAATATTAAAATATCATATAGTAAATAATTTTTTTTAGACTAATGGAGTTGGGTAAACACCTTAAAAATAAACAACACTAAAGGGACAATAACTCACCTGAAAAATCTGCAAATCCTGCCTTTGTTTCTGGAAGATCTGTGAAATCATCGAAATCTGTCGGCTGTTTTCGAAGCGAACCAAATTTGTCAATCTAAAGTATAAGTAGAAATAAAAAACAATAGTAGAATGGGTTGAGTAGGTGAGAAATACATGCAAAGAAGACAGTAAGTAATTACGTCCACGAAATGACGTGGTAAAACAACCCCCTTTTGAAAACTGCGGTAGATAAGACTACTGAGCCTAGTTAACCAGCACAGATTTTTATTGTATCAGACTATGAGCCACATATATTGTATGAGGGTTGATAGCAATAACCAACTGGCGGGATTTCGAATTGAGGACCTACTGTGGCTGAAAGTCGACTATTTAAGTCTATGAGACGTACCCCTCTCCATGAGGTGTTTAAATATAACAAGATAAAACCATCTAAAAATAACCATTATTATTTTCTGTAAATATTTAGTTACTTCCAACGTATAACGAAGAAGCAAATTTAGCAGAGAAACAAAAGACCTTATCAGATTTCCTTTCATGCCACAGGATCCTTTGTAAATTTTAATAGAAAATTTCAAGTGTTGGTTTGAAATGATCCTGATCATGAACTGACTTGAAAAGTTCTTCGTTAAGAGGTGAACACATTCAGCATACATCTACTTGGAGTTCTTATGAGAAGTCGTGACCGGTTTGGTCCAGCAAATAGGATGTGAAGAAAGATATTCAACGACGACATTCAAAGCAGTAGCCTTATATTATTTGAATTAACAAAGTTTAGAATTCTCGGGTTACAGGAATCCAACCCAGTTGTTGAGTAGTTAATGCACTGGCTCTGTAAACTGATCGTCTTAGTTTTCATATCTCTTGTGGTGTCATAGGCACGTGCTACTGAAGAGTCCGAAACAAGGACGAAGTATATTTTCAGTACAGCCTAGTTAGCAGTGGTCCTTTAACTAATGTCAGTTCATGATAAAATCAATCGTGAAGTAATTATTTCTCAAAATAATATAGATGTACAATCGAAGAACCTGAAGAAGAAATTATCGAAAACAATGTTCTTTATTTACTAATCATTGACATAATGTCTAGTAGGATGCTAGTTGTATTAAATCGACTGTATGTGATTGTTCAAAAACTAAAAGCTTTCTTTCCCCATGTCCCTGATGTCAACGTTCCCGACTACAATTTAATCAAGCACCAATGACTGAAGTCTCGTAAGATAGTGAAATAAGTTCAACTACTCATCTTAATTTATGTTCTGTGTTGATGCATATGTTCTGCTTTCGTGTCTCAAGGCACGGAAAGAGATGAAGACAAGCTTTGTGATGGTTGAGTGCTGGTTTAGTTAATGATTCGGTCGCCAATGGTTTGAATTCAGTTGCAACCCAGATTTTTATTTTATTTATTTTGTTTGATTCTTCTATTATTCATTATTTAATCGTTCTTCAAGACCTTTGCTTTGCTTTCTCAGTGGAGTAGAGGACTTTAAGGGTTAAACTTTAACATTTCAGTAGCTGTAGTGTCGTTAATTTAATGGGATGGGGTTGCTAGTTTCACACTCAACCTCCCCTCTTTCCCAGGTTTCCTATCGACTAGTAAACTAGGAGACGTTTAGGAGTGCACCAGAAGAGAATCGAACCTGAACTACGTGCGTTGTTGGGAAGCAATCATTAACCATTGGATCGCCAACGAACATATGAGAATATCGGTTAATCACAATAATGTCTCGCTTATAATATTGAATCCCACAAACTGGAAGATATGCAAGTGAAAAGCAACAAGTTGACAGCGGAAAAAGCATCGAAGATAAGCCTTCAGGTGAACATAGAGAAAACAGAGGTGATGAAGATTTCTGGCCAACACCGACAGCAATAACAACAGACAAAAATCAACATAAGTGGGAGGGATCTGAAAGAAGCAACCTCCTTCACCAACCGACCTGGGAAGCATCGATTCAACTACAGGCGGACGGAACTGATGAGAATATCAAAACAGCGAGGATCGGGAAAGCAAGGCAAGCTTTGATTCCTCTCAAGTCTGTGTGGAGGTCAACAGCGCTCAGCATCAAAAATAAGATCCAGATTTTCTACTCCAATGTGAAGTCAGTGCTACTATAAGGATCAGAGACTTGGCGCGTCATAAAGAGCATCTCAAACAAACTACAGACCTTCATCAACAGCTGTCTTCGCTCAATACCACCCAAGATCTGATGGCCAGAAAGGATCAGAAATAGGAATCTCTGGGAGCAAACCAGCCAGGAACCGCTTGTGCAACAAATAGGCAGGAAGAAATGGAGTTAGGTGGTTTGGCCATACTCTGAGGAAACCATCATGTGACATCACTAGACAAGCCCTCGAGTGGAACCCAAAAGGAAGCGGCGAGTTGGTCGTCCGAGAGTGGGGTGACTTGGAGGAGGTCATGTGAAGAGGAGATGAAAGCATGTGGGCAGACGTGGAGCCAGGTGAAAACTTTAGCAGAGAACCGAACGCAATGGAGACGTGGGGGCTGAAGCTTTATGTTCCTCTGAGAATTAAAGGAAATAATAATAATAATTACAGAAAGAATTCTATGAGGCAGTCAACAGCAATTTCAGATAATCAGCTTACGTAAATATCGAAATATTCTTCCGTTTGGGTTTTATTGTGAACTATACTCAGCCTAACTGTTAATTGACAAACTAACAAATTTTCAATGAATTAAAATAGATTCTTAGTTTAACCAATACTAAAACAGCAGATTAATCTGTACAGAGAATAACTTACACTTTTATCTGAATTCCCATCACGATCATTGATACCGATCTTTTTGCTATATAGATCTTTTGCTTTCAAATTTAATGAATGTTTAAATGTTGACATTGTTTCACTTCCACTTTCATCATCAGCATCATCGTTATCATCACCGTCTGTCTCACTTTCCTCTGCTTCATCATCAGCAAAAAGACAGACACGACGCTTTGATGACTTCACGTTAACAACATCATCAGCGTCATCATCCTCGTTTTCATTTTCGTCTTCCTCTGCCTCCTCCTCCTCGTCTCCTTCTTCCTCGTCTTCTTCTTCTTCATCTTCATCACCACTCCTTTCCTCTTCATCATCAGTTGAACTAGAATTTTCAGATAATTCGCTACCTTCAGCCTCATCGCCTTCTGACCATTCTTCATCACTAGTTGGTGCTCCCTATGGAAAAGGCATAAAGAAGAAACAAGAAACAATATACTAATCAGTTAGAGAATATTGATTTTACATCGAGATAACTAACTATGTTACATATTGCACAGCTGACTTCGCTGGCTCCATACAGAAGAGATCAGATGGTCGATTAGTACGAATAAGCAATAAGGAACTCTAGGAACGAACCAACCAAGAACCTATCCCTCGACAAACATGCAGAAAGAACGGAGATAGATTGGATACACGCTGAGGAGACAGTCGAGTGAAATCATGCGCCAGACAACCCCATTGAGTAGAGTAGAGCCCGGATAGGAAACGGCGAGATGGACGTCCAAGGATGACATGGAAGGGATGGTGTGAGTTAGAGGAAATAAAAGCTTAAGGGTAATCGTAGAGCGGGCTGAAGAAGACTGCAGAGGAAGGCATGAAATGGAAATGTGCCTATAAATCCCTATGTTCAAACTTGGAACCTAAGGAAATAATAGTATATTTCACAGTATGGATCAGTAAGGTTTATTATGGCAGATTGGAGCGTATGTCGCTTGATGATATTGATTGGCAGTAACACTATATCGCAAAATGATGGAGGTTGGAATTCGCAGGTTACTGCATACCACCAGTTTCAATGATTGAATGGCTAGAACTCTCAGAGATAACTACATGAATAATTATACTGTGAAATTACGTAATCACAGTTGCCTTGCGTATAAGAAAAAGAAAATGACACGGTGGAGACGCTGATAAATAACTGAGGTCTGATCAAAGTTACTTTTAACAGTTCATATAAAACTATATTGATATGTAAAGGAACACAAAACCTCCTCTGTAATAGTTAACTTCATATACGCTTACCTACTAGACCATTTCATGTTTTGTTCTGTAATTACACAGGTGCACAATACGCTAGGCAACTGAATTCTTCATAAGATAATTGACTGGTGAAACACTAATTTATTGACTAAAGTCACATACTGACTAAGTCACACCATCCATCAATTTCACCCAAGAATAATCGGGTACCATCATCAACATTCACATAAGATGGATGGTTAATAGGCCTAGTGCATGAAAATCCTCGTCTTGGTAGGATGTCACTTGGTCGGTGATGGCTAGCAATGAAATCCAAAACACGCTTTTGTCCTATCTGCGGTTCACCATCTGGACGTATTTGCAAGCCCATTCACTGATGGTGTTCTCAAAGATACTCGAACCCAGTACTCACCATTTCAAACATCAAAGAGTTATCCGCTAGGCTACTGGGTGCGAATCTTAATCGGAACATCATAACTCAGTGGAGATGCAGGTACATCCAACTGAAGAGTTGCAAATGGGATGAAAAGTGCGTTATGCATTCCACTACTAGGCCACTACCAACCAAATAACTCGTGTTTATCTCAATGTATTGTCGAAACATTCGTACTGAGAGTCAACACGTAAACATAGATTAGGCATTTAGGTCCAATACAATCAATCAACCTAATGTTCAAAATAACCTTGACAAGTCGGTTATAACTAATTACTGTATTCTGATAGATAGGTAGGTGGACCAAAGTTGAAATTTCTAAGACTTTGTGAGGCAGGATTAAATGAGTTAATCAAAGTAGGTGAATGATTTCTTTGTCTGTAGACCACCCGGTTGGGTTCCTCAGGATGCCAAGAAAACCGGTAGCTTGAGACTATTGGTAATATGGCTAGAGCTTCGAAGATTCAGTAGAAGTGGTGTTTAATTTTAAGGGGTGGGGTTGCTACCCTCTCTTTACTGGTCTTGTTACTGGCTTACCGAGGTAAAAGAGTGCGGCGGCCGGGGATCTAATTTCGGACCATATGCATGGTTAGCGAGCAGTCTACTGCTAAACCACCAACGCGGAGTGACGTAGATGCATGCACTCTTTTAAGTCTCCCGTATCCAGTAAATCTCCATATTTCTTCAGGTTATTGTTATTCTTTCTACATTTGTTTCTGCACATTATAGGCCTTTCGAATTCCTTGTTTTCTACCTTTTTTGTCACAGGGAGTATGGGGCAACTTCAACTACTTCACTTCTGTGCAAACTTCTATGTTGAAATACAGTCAGTTGAGATAGAGGTATATATATATATATTTGCCAGACAGAATCACTCGTCGTTCATATAAAGGCATTACAACGAAGAGGCATGTACACAGAACACAAACATACCTCAGTGTTTTCATTAGTTGACTTTTTTGAACCGCATAAACCTTCTTCTTTTAATCGTGCTTCATATTGTTGTAATCTTTTTTGACGCATTTTTTCTTCAAGAAGTTTTCTATGCTCCAACCACTTTTTTCTACTAGCTGATAAAACTGATGATGAACTCGCAGAAGTTCGATGGGTAACTTTTTCCACTTGAAGCTCTTCTCTTTCGTTATCATTTGTTTGAACCTTATACAATTGAAAAGAAAGAATAATGAGAAGTATAACATGCAAGAAGAAGAAGGACATGTGAGTAAGCCAGTGTAAAGATGTGAGCCCATTAAGTTTCAAGCACACGATTTTCAAATAATGAGAACCGGGTTCGAATCCTGCTTCACCTACCTCAGCCTGACTAACTGAGCAGGATCACTAGTCTTCACACAAATTCATACCATAGTATATGGGAAATCTGGTATGGGTAACTGAGTCTAACAATAAAACAGGATCGGTCAACACAATTACTTTCCAAGAGAATCAATTTCAATTTATCAACATTTTGACGATTTTCTCTAAAGCACTACCACCTAACATTAGCTCGCAAGTAAGTTCATTTTTTGGTTTGGAATTTTAGTATTATGGGGATGTCAGTGATTATGAACATTGAACGTTTGCTTATTGGCTTTGGTCGCCATCGGCGTAAAACTTGAAGGCGCGAGTGAGCCATTGGTTTTCATCATCTAGAGGACCCCAACCAGGAAGCCAACCTACACCTCCTTATGTGGCTGGCTGGCTTAAACTAACTGTTGTGGATTTCATGAACTTATGAGGCCATGTCTTGGTTTGACCACCTTTAGCTCTTTTCCAACCTCATCCTATATCAGCTAACATTGCCCATTGACGAGGAAGGCAATAGCTACGCTAGGCATACGTAACACATGTCCTAACCGTCACGATCGGTGTAACTTCACAGCTTTTTTGATTGATTTCCTTTCCTTATCTAGCACTCGACCGAAGCCTCACCTCAATATTGCATACCCTATTATCCCACTGCACATGGGAGATAGAACGCAAGCACCTATGATCAAAAATAGCTGGCCAGCTTTTTCATGTCTTCCATTTTCAATGGCCAGGTCTCGCTCACAGCCATGAAGGAGGACGGAGCGGACTGCTGAGCAGTTGACACGCCCTTTGCTCGATAGCCATATATCACGTCTACGCCAGAGATGGCATAAACTGGCATATGCGAGACGAGTCTTCTGTATCTGTGCTGAGATTTCGTCAGAGACTTAAAGTACTATATAAAATATACTTGAATAAGACAAACTAATATAACTCCATGCTGTTGTTAAATGAGATGTGTATAACATTGAGATTTCGATAATGTAATTTACGAACTGACATTAGTTGAAATCATTGGAACCAGACAGCAATGGATTATGCGTTTTCATGTGGTTGTCTTCTCTGAGCTGGATGGTGGTTTAATTGAGAAGGATTCATTGACTGTCTTCTAGACAACATCTTCAATGCAGACTTCAATATGAAGTTATTACCTATAAAGACAATGAATGCTTCGTAATCAAATCACTCAACCTAGAGAACACAACCATATTAAAATCATCCACGTGAGCTACATATTTTCCCCATTGTATAAAAACTAAGCGTAATAGGGATCAGAATCACATTTGGTATTTCATCCAACCTACTTTGGGACAAAGTATTCAACAGAGTTAGCCTTTCATTCTTGCGAATGTAGAAACTGAAAATAAGTAAATAAATATTCCCTAGAGAAACAAATAACACTTTTTAAAAATTTCCCAAGTTAGTGTGTATTATAATTTTAACTTGGAATTCAAATACAATTACATGGAACTGATTGAAGTACGCGACTTCCAATCAGTAGTGGGTTACGAGTTCGAACAGTGCTGTACCTAAAGAGATTTGGGTAGCCTGAGGGTAATATATCATTAGCTATTAAACGCACACACACACACACGAGGTGTGGCTCATTGCCAACTACACGAAAAGGCAAGTGATTGTTGAGTAACATTTCCCTACTTTTTTTACTTATTTTTTTTTACACGGAACATACCTTTGTTATAATCGAATATTCAATAGATTCTGGGACAACTTTTTCATGAGATACTGTAAGATGCTTTTTTAAACGAGCCAATAATTGATCAGCGGGTGTTATAGTCGGTTTTGAAGAAGATGAAGAAGAAATCGACTCGCCTGTAAGGGAAAAACAGTCAACACTTCATTGACAAATAAACATATTTTGGATGATGGGGACTTGGAATAGCTTCAATGGCGATTTCTTGACGATCCAATTCACCTCTAATTACTGTTGGTTCTCGATAAACTCTACATTGAAATTAATCCAAATCCCAACAGAAAGACCATAATCGAAGTATGAATACAAAGCTTAGCAATCGAAACTGGATGGATGTCCTGAAGCTGTACTGAAAAGTTGTGGCCAGTGAGGTCCACCACATCAAAGTAGAATGGATGTTCAGAGAAAGCGTTAGGTGGGATGGCGTTATATGACGAATTGACAGAAGCTGAAATTCATGAATCATTAAATTCCAGTCCAAGTGGCTGAGTGGTTAAAAAGTTTGGCATTGTGACCTGGGTTTCGATCCTTGTTGAGGTCATGAGCGTGCGGTCCTGAAGAGTCCTAAAGTAGGGTGAAACGCGCTCAAGTGTTGCCTGATTTTGAATGACCTCTAACTACTGTTGGTCGGTGACAAAATTCACACTGAAATATACGTTAGCTGACCATACTTTAAAATAGTTTGCAGATCTGGTAGACATTATTTACGTTGATGTCTAGGTCACTAATATTGGCCATGAGAAAATATGAACAAGGCTGATTCAACAACCAATCACAGAAGACTTAACGTGGGTAAATAAGATTCGCAGATATATGGCTTAACTTTCTGAGAAACCAGTCACTTTGAGCAAGAAACAACCAATCAGAAGACTGTGTTTGTCTGCTTGAATAAGCTATAATAATGTACATGAAATCTATATAAATACGTGCTGATTTCCGTAATAAAACCATCTGTTGCCTGGCTTTTGTCTTCTGTTGTTACAACACTACTTAACATCTGCCCGTGCAAACGTCTGTAGTTGGAGGCGGATTCGAACTCCTGACCCTTCGGTCGGTGGTAGTCAAGCGCCTAGACCAGTGAGACACAACACCATATTCAAATATCAACCACAACCGACTTTTTAAGAAACAAACAAATAGTATGAACAAGATCAAAAATTAAAAAAAACCTTTTCATACCTAAATCGATATAAAACTCTTCATTATTATCATTGATTAAACTTCTTGTACTAAGGGAAGGAAGTATATTTATCAGTTTATCTGATTCATTTATAAAAGGAAGTTTTGGTTTTATTTCTACCGATGATGATGATGTTGATGGTGTGAGTTCGGCAATACTGCAATCCATGTCAACTGACTGGAAAGGAGGATTATCTATTGGATCATCATGTGAGATAGAAGGCTTAATGTCCAGTGTCTTACACTCCACTGGATCACATTGAGTAGGCTGTTGTTTTGAATTAGCTTGAGTTTCACTACAACAGCCTGGAAGTGATCTGAGATTTAAAAACAATTGAAGAATAGAACAAGATTAAAATTCCATAATAAATAACCAAAACATAACCACAAATTAACAGAAATACACCATATTATTCAATCAAGTGTACAGTCAGCTTACAGTTATCCAGAACAGATTTCTCATTTACCAACGACACTTGTTATGTTAGGCCCAATGAGACTATCCAATTACCCAGGTTGAAGTAGACCGGATGGGACTCGAACCCAAGACGTTTACCTGAAAGCCAGGTTACTTAGTGCAATGGAGCTGGACTTCCACAATAAAGTAGGTAACAATTAACAATATGTACATAAATATTAAATAGCGCTTACGTAGTCTGAGAGGAAGATTCACAGCCTTTAGTTTCATTTCCCGTGATGCCTTTTAGTGATTGACGAAATTCACTGAAACATTTAAACTGTTTAGGTCTATGCACTGGTAAACGTATATCTGCTTCTGAAAGGAAAAACAAATTACAGAACAAGTTGTAATCACTATGACAAAAAAATCAAACTAACCTCGTATAAGACGTTGTGTTTCAAGATGAATCTGAAGTCGTTCTTCCTCTATACTAGAACATGGTTTAGAACCAGCTGGTGTTTTAGATTTTGAGATAGTTTTTGATTTCTTTTTTGCTGCACCCTAAAGTAAAATTAGAATTAATTTTTTTTTCGAAAAAGGGCTACTTACAGAGCTATATGTCCAACGACCAACTTGTTCTTCTGTCTCGTCATCATCCTCTGCTGCTGCTTCTTCTTCTTCGTCGTCTTCTCCTTTTATGAACTGTTCTGTGTTCTCTTCAGAATCATCATCATTATCTGCTTGATTTAAAGATGGAGAGGCGTCAGCTTGATACTTATCATGGTTATCATCACTTGACTCACTATCGATTAAATCAAGTGGTAAAATCTAAAAGAACGAAGAGATAAACTTTGCAAAAATAATATATGAAACAAGAGTTTGTATGAAAGGTTGCAACCGCATACTATATGGTTTCATATAGACTGATGAAAACTGACGTTTATTGTATACAACAACACATTGGAATTATATTTTCGATAGGGAATATTATTCAGGTTTACATTAGCATTATTTATTTCATTAATGTTTTCCCTTGTGCTTCTCGATACACAGTTGTTCATCTTTGACCGTGTACAACGTTACCACATCACTGAACACGAAAAAGTGGATGCATTATAGTATTTCAATTGGAATTATATATAATGCACTGTAGGTCCCACTGTTGAACAGAGATTACGTGGGGCTCAGGTAAAAAAGACCATCAAGAGAATGAGTCAACTATATCTCCATATTAGACAGTGAAAAACTTGACGCGTCCATCGCTTGTCACATTTCTTGAAATGAAAAACATATTTAACTTCATTGGTTCAGAATTAATGTCTCAGCGTTTCTGCGGATTCCTGAGAAATAGTCTTGTACTAACCATTTTCTTATTTTTGATTACAGCTTGATTCCACACTGTATTTTTGGCACAAATATGGAATTTTCAGAATGTGATATTGGTAGCCCAAACTTTGCAGGCCGACCATAGATATCAGGAGTGCGCGTCGGTAGAGACTCGAACCCCGGATCATGTGCATGGTCGGCGAGAGTCCTAACCACTGTGCCACCGACGCACTTATCGATTGAATACTTTAGCCAATTAAAGATGAAGTGAATTCTACTTTTACATTTTAGTATATGCTTATCAAGAGAATCTCCCACAGATAATGAGTCTATTCGACTTGTCAAGATACACAACAGCACGAAAATGAGAAAGAATATCATGGGTAAAATAATTCATTAGGACAGGGATGAGAGAATTACGAGTCAGCTATCTATGTGAGTTATGGACTAAACAACAATAATGACAGAACAACAAAATATAAGGAAAATAAAGAGGTAATGAATAAAGGTTATCAACCAGGAAGGAAGCAAGTATATTTGACAAGATCAAATAACATTCGTCGTATTATTGTCAGAAAGGGAATAAAGGAGGAAATTGCAGCATGTCCACCATTGATTGCGATTTTTGGTCATATGTAGTGGCGTTTGCGACCACCAATTCGAACTTTCCCTCGGACCCCAGCCAGGGAGTCATGACTCACCGATGGATGCTATCGTAACACAAGTGTCCTTCATCCCATGGTGTCATGTTATAGGTTGACCATCTCTTCACTTTTATCATCTAATCCCACGACTGGCGAACAGAAACCGATACAAAAACCTTTGAGATGAGATTCGTAGCACATATCCAAACCACCGAAGCTTGTGTTTTCAGGTGACAACACTCAGTGAGTGGTGATCTCCACTGTTTCCAAACACACGATGCCATACCTCAGAATTACTCACACGATGAAGACATAGGATGCAAGAAATTCTACGAAGACAGTGATGACCGAAAAGGCAGAGTCACCACACATCCTCAGCTCGGAGTGGGCATATTTCACAAGCTTAGGGCAAGACAGGCACATGGAAGCATTGTAAACCCTTTGACAAAGAGACTGACGTCGCGACAGAGCCAGAGGTGGCACAATTTGGTGTATACCACCGTAGTTTTTACTGTACGGTGAGAGATCTCATCCGTCACATAGTCAGTACTCACACAACTACCCAGACACATGAACTTATCGACAATTTGAAGTGGTTCACCTGCAAGGGTGAGTGCAGATACAGTCTCCAAGTAATCTTGCACCGGTACTTCTCACTAAGAGGGCGCAAAGCACATGCCGGACAGGTAGACACAAATCTCCAAATAATTAAGTAAGATTTGGGCAGCTTGCATGCTATCACACAATGAGATGATGTCGTCTGCATACTAAAAGTCAAAAAGTATATCTCCAAGAAGATCTATACCACCACTACAAACGTCCTTCAGAAGTGACTCTACAATGGCATCGGTGACAAAATTAAAGACAAGTGGATAAATTGAGTAACCCTGTCTAATCCCACTGTTCGTTCACAGTAGCGGAGAATAGTATTCAAGTGAACCGTTTTCATGTTTGCGTGATAGGGTTCCTCCGAGTATGCGAATCAGTAAGAGACGTGATTCAAATAACACCCACATACTTTATAACCCTACATATGTGAAGTCTGAAACATCATATATGAACGAATCGAATACTCAAAAATCACAGTGGTTAGGACTCTCGCCGACCATGCACATGGTCCGGGGTTCGAGCCCGCACCGACGCACGCCTGATATTAATGGTCGGCCTGCAAAATTTGGGCTACCGATATCCATGCTGAAAATTCCATACTTGTAACGAAAATACAGTGTGGAATCAAGCTGTAAATAAAAAAAAAGATTTCCATTAGGCTGACAATTAGCCACACATGTTATGTGATCGCTAGTATTACTACTTGGAAGACTAAGCCTCAGAAGTTGGAATGACATTCGGACCGTTCATCCAGTGACTGGTAAGTCCAGAATGAAAACAATACAGGAATATAACTAAAGACAGAAATTTACATGTGATTGATTCATTGACTGACTGAATGACTTACATTCGAATGTTTCTCAACAACTTTTTCAGAAACACATTCCTTCACATTAAAATCTCTTGTCGCTGAAGTTTTGTCAATATCAACATCTGAAGGTGAATCACTGGCGTCATCCACCTTAAATAATGTAAAAAAACACAATAAGGCTAAAACACCAGTGTGACTAACTCATCAACATTGAACTTTGTGTAGGTACATTCAACATTATGAGAATTAAAAATAAAACTAACAAGTAATAAGCATAAAAACTAGTTCATACAGTTAGAAGTTAATTGGTGGATGGTGACTAGCAGTGGAATCCAGTATGCGCATTTCGTCCCATTTGTGACTCGCCATCTGGATATACATGCATTCCCCAGTGAGTGATGATGTTCCCACTGAGACTCGAACCCAGTACCCATGGTTTCAAAGGCCAAAGCGTTATCCACTAGACCTCTAGGGCCATTTTTAAAGGGAGGACCTTGAGGCCTCTCCACTGACAAAAACTAAACGCCCGAGCGCACCCAATTAGAGTCCTTCGCGAGTTTCAACCCACTGAGGTTCAATTGGTGAGCCTCCACCCGGGGTCAGAGCATTCTTGATCAGACGAAGGAAAAATCTAAAATTGAATTAAATAGTTCATACAATATTAACAACTATCATGATTATGAATTCCGAGATGATAAAGAGTTGGAGAAATTTATCTTCAAATACCTTCAAACATTTCAACTCTCAATGGAATCAGACATGCTACTCCACAAAAAGTAACCTAATGATCAAGGTGCAATCAAAAAGTATCTTGGCATTTATAGAGGTGGAATTTGGTTCGTGCAAACATATTCAGAACTTTTTCTAAGGTGGAAAGTTAGTCAAAGTTGGATTATCTCGACAGAAGTCTAAGGGGAAACAAAATAAGAAACAGAGCGAGTCGATAAAGTCTTCAACTGTCAGTTTTATTCACTGCTGGAATAGCAGTTCCTTTGGATGAACTTCAAAGGACAATCGGAATTAACAAGCGGAGAACAGACAACAGTGAAGTAAATACATCCATGTCTTATCTTTCCGATTTGTTAACAGTTTTGCAAACAACTGGTATTAGCCATATATGTCATCTATTGTACTAATTGGTACCTATGTTGCTTTTTAGCCTAACAAGCTGCCCAAATATTGATTTTAAGCTTATCATCCATATGAAATTACTGGTTTCAAATATTATGCAGATGCAAGTTACGAAATATACAGTTCAAACAAATGGACCTCATGCATTAGTGGCATCTCCTACTCCGAGTCCTCAGATAGCTCTGTTACTCTTATACTTTAAGTGACACTATGAATCCTGATAAAGTCTGCATGTGTAGTTAAAACATACTTCGGATATCATGATAGACACAGATTTACAGAATTTTTAGATGCTTCACCTTGGCTATCAGAAAGCCTGTGCTCATTATTTGGTCACCAAAGGTAACGAACACCAGAAAGGATCCAAACATATCCGCAAGCAAACATCAGTAGTTTACATACAGCACACTAATACATTGAACTCTCAATCTCTGTGAAGAAATCGATTAAAATACTCCGTATAGTGAATAACCACACATCAATGCCAAAATGAGATTATATATTCAGGTGTCTGACAATCTTATCTAAAATAAATACACTTTATGTTTGATCAGAGATTATTCACATTGAGTAACATCCAGACACTTCATGATTCTACAAATGTCAACTTTAACACATCATGTACAAACTGGTCTAATATTTAACAGGAAAAGCGTTTAGCGAAGAGTTACTCTCTTAAGCCATTTCATTCTCAAGCTGTACAATCGCATATATGTGGTAAATTATCTCAGCAATAAAAGGAATATTTCCATGGATGTATCATTAGAATTGTAAATGTAGAAAGCGTTTATCGGGTAGAAACTAAAATAAGGGAATAATCTCGTTTACTTAGAATATGCTGACGATATAGTCTTTCTAGGCGAGGATGCTGAAAAAATGCAGTCTTCTAAACACCTTGAGCTGCAATCTACGAATGTTTGGCATGCGATTCACTCCCGCCAAATGCAAGATGATGTTACAGGACTGGACTACATCGACGCCTAGTTTAAAAATAGGAAGTGAAGTGGTAGAGCACGTTGACCGCTTCACTTATTTGGGAAGTACCATCAGCCAGTGCCAACGGGCTGATCTCTGACGAAATCTCAGCACGAATACAAGGGGCTCGTTTCGCATTTGTTAGTTTACGCCGACTCTGGCGTAGACGAGATGTTCGACTATCGACCAAAGGGCGGGTGTACTGCTCATCAGTCCGCTCCGTCCTCCTTTATGGCTGTGAGACCTGGCCACTGAGAGTGGAAGACATGAAAAGACTAGCTGTCCTTGATCATAGGTGCTTGGGTTCTATCTCCCGTGTGAAGTGGTATAATAAGGTGAGCAATATTGAGGTTAGGTTCCGGTCGAGTGCTAGGTAAGGAGGGGAAATCAATCGACGAGGTTGTGAAGTTACAAAAACTGATATGGTTAGGACATGTGTTACGTATGTCTAGTCATCGCCTTCCTCGACGAGCAATTTTAGCTGATATAACATCGGTCAGGCTGGAAAAGAGCTAGCGGAGGTCAAACAAAAACATGGCACCAGTCAATGAAATCTACAACAGTTACTCTAAGCCACGTAGGAAGGTGTAGACTTTCTGACCAGTTGGGGTCCTCGGGACGGTGAAAACCAATGGTTGGAAACAATTGGTGACATGGCTCAAAATCGTTCTCAATGCCTGGTGCAGATGCACCCACTCCTTGTGACTTATGATTTCCAATGAAACTGTTTTGTTCTTCGTTATTACTCTTCCTTTGTCTCACACCTCTGCTTACTGTCTCTATTGTGTTTTTCTTGTACTTTCTCCTCTTGCTTTGTGTGCTACAAGGAGGGAGTGTGGCGACTTGAACTTCCGCACATATGTGCAAAGTTCTATGTCGAAAACAGACAGACAGACAGAAACTAAAATAAAGTTGTATAAGCAAGCCGAGTGACGCATTATGTTTGAAGGAGTGGAGGGGAATTTAAGTGAAATTCGATGAAAGTCAAGTTAACAACAGTGGTAATATGGGGAAGAGGTACGAATCAAACTTCTTCAAACTGCAGAAGCAATGGCAATTCACATGTTAAATCCTGAAATCTGCATACAAAAGAAATTTTCTCAGTCATGTATTCTACAATGTACCTGATGTATCTTAGCACCGAATACGTGACTTTTGTTTTTGTTTCTTAATTGTAGTATTTCCTCCATCTATTAAATCTCTACCGCCGAAAAAAGTAACTTTTCGCTGAAAACCTTTTCTTTTATATGATTCAATGGGGATTTTCAAGTTGGTTACTGTTTAACAACCCCTTGCACCTCCATACAACTGCCAATGAACTAATCCTGTTGTCTGACGCCTAGTATGATTACCTAGCCGCCCCAGCCTTGAAGAAGGGAGCAGAAATCGGATGCGTCCCCCAGGTGGTTGGTAGTCCCAGTGGTCAGACCAATGAGTCGATAAATGTAACACACAGTTATGAATGAAAACATTACAAGAGTATAACTAAATACAGGTGATTGATCGATCGACTGACTGAATGACTTACATCCGAATGTTTCTCAACAACTTTTTCAGAAACACATTCCTTCACATTAAAATCTCCTGTCACTGAAGTACTGTCAACATCAACATCTGAAGGTGAATCACTGGCGTCATCCACCTTATATAATGGAAGCAATAGAAAAAACACAATAAGGCTAATAAGGTTTATGCAGGTGGAGATAAGAATAACAAAGACAGTAATATGTGTATATGTAGACAATTCAATAAATAAATTAGGTCAAATCTTAAAAGTTACGTAATACTAAAGGTGAAGTGGACTGATAATCAGAGTTTAAATAAATATCATAATAAGTGATATGATTTTGAATTCCTGGATAGAGAAAAGTTGGAGAAACATCTATAGTTTAAAATATCTTCAGATCCCCCCTTATATCAGCTTTGAGGGAAATCAGCCATGATGGCCTACAAAAAGTAAATCCATAAGTATACACTTGAATACTATAAGTATACTGTTGGCCATCTCCCATGTAAAGTGAAATAATAGGGTGAGTAATATTGAAGTGAAGCTTCATTCGAGTGCTAGGTAAGGAGGTGAAATCAACAGATGAGGCTGTGAATTTACATAGACTGAGATGGTTATGACATGTGTTATGTAAGCCTAGCCTAGCCATCGCCTTCCTCGACCGGTAATGTTAGCTGACACAGGGTCATACTGGAAAAAAGCCAGTGGTGGTCAAAGCAAAACATCGCCTCATCAGTCAATGAAATCCACAAAAATTCGTTTAAGCCACGCAGGAAGGTGTAGACTTCCTGGCTGGGGTCCTCGGGACGACAAACACCAATGACTGGAGATAATTGGTGATATGGCTCAAAATCGTTGTCAATGGCTCAGATACATACACTCCTTGTGACCTCTAATACCCAATAAAACCGCATTGTTCTTCGACTTTACTATTCTTTTTGCCTTATGTCTCTGTTTACTGTCACTACTTTGCATTTTTTACTTTCTCCTCTTACTTCCTACATGGAGTGTGGCGACTCGAACTGCTGAACATCGATGCTAAGTTCTATGTTGGAACCAGTCAGTCACCGTTGGACAGTGGGTTTTATTGGCTTGTATTCGCACTATATAGCTCTAAAATAAGACCAACATTTTAAACCTGGAAGTGGAATATCTCATTGTAATATATATCATACTTCTTTTATCCTATGGATTTAGATCAGAATCCTCGATTCAAAAATTTAAAAATGGACAACACAGAAGCTATGGGAATATTCGTAAGGAGTATGGAAATACAATGAAGAAAGAGAGAAGACGAAACACTATCGTGTAACTATTAGCCCATTTCTTGACTATCCACATTGAATTATTAGTGTACCCTGTCGTATCTCACTAACACAACCCAGTTATAAGCTAACTGAACCAAATATTTTTAAAGATATTATATACTGAAGTTGATATCAGTAACTTGGAGACGCCTAACACCAACTAGTACTGCTCGTTAACCAGATCGAAGTTATTTACACATCCGATGGCCATTTTGCTATTTTGAGGCCGAGTTTATTAGTGGTATACTCGTCAGACTCGGCTGAGGAAGCTTGACTATTTCAAACCACCCAAATCTATGCTAGCCACTTGAACGAAGCGACAATCAATTTTTAATTCTAACTATACCTGTCTTTTTAAGATGAATATCATCCCTACACAAATATTTGAAGCATAAGGGTCTGTCTCTATCTGTTTTCGACATAGAACTTTGCACAAATGTGCGGAAGTTCAAGTCACCACACTCCGTGTAGCACGCGAAGCGAGAGAAGAAAGTACAAGAAAAGCATAAAAGAGACAGTGAGCAGAGGTGTGAGACAAAGGATACAGATGTTATCGACATAAGAACATATCACAGCTGTCACAGTATATTTGTACACCAAATAATGAGCAGTATGAAGGGTGACTGAAAATGGAAATAGTGACGTCAGAAATTACCAGAGCATATACAGCTGACAAAATGCAGAGTCTTCTAAACACCTTGAACAGCAATCTACGAATGTTTGGCATGCGATTCGCTCCCGCCAAATGCAAGATGATGTTACAGGACTGGACTACACCGACGCCTAGTTTAAAAATAGGAAGTGAAGTGGTAGAGCACGTTGACCGCTTCACTTATTTGGGAAGTACCATCAGCCCCAACGGGCTGATCTCTGACGAAATCTCAGCACGAATACAAAGGGCTCGTTTCGCATTTGTTAGTTTACGCCGACTCTGGCGTAGACGAGATGTTCGACTATCGACCAAAGGGCGGGTGTACTGCTCATCAGTCCGCTCCGTCCTCCTTTATGGTTGTGAGACCTGGCCACTGAGAGTGGAAGACATGAAAAGACTAGCTACCTTTGATCATAGGTGCCTGCGTTCTATTTCCCGTGTAAAGTGGCATAATAAGGTGAGCAACATGGAGGTTAGGCGTAGAGTTCTAGGTAAACAGGGGAAATCAATCGACGAAGTCGTGAAGCTACATCGACTGAGATGGTTAGGACATGTGTTACGTATACTTTACTTTACTTTACTTCGGCTATCTCCTACGGGAGGATGAGCCGGCTTCATGAACGTCTCGAATCATCGCTGCCCAGGCGCGGCAATTTGTAAGAGAGTTCATGATGTTTCATGGGAATTTGGTACGAGTGATGTCCCCAGCATCGCTCGGCCTTTTGTTTGAGGGTGCAGCTCTAGCCTTTACACAGCCAAGTGTGACCTACAAGGCAGTAGGAGTGGAGTAAGGAGTCCACTATCCATTGGCAGCCGGTGACCGGAGTTCGGTTCATACGCCTTTTTGAATGGGGCCAGACATCCAGGACATCCAACAAGCCCTTTGTCCATACGTCTGCCGGTGAGCTCCAGTGAGCTTCATACGCCAGTCGTTGGAGTTTTGGAATCAGGGTTTAGCCATCTCCCCTAGACTGTCATCCAATGGACAATCAACCCGGTGGAGAGCGCCGGGCATCCGCTTTCGCCCTCTCACTTTGGTGAGAAACACCTCCGCCACGTGAAGGCAGTGAGTAGGACTTCCTCAGGAGAGGCTATGTAAGACGCCCGGTCATATGGGAGCATTTCAGGAGGTGTGCGGAGGGGTGGCCAACCCGCAGCGCAAGGCACCCACCCCCGACCATCCTGAGGCTTTGTGTTACGTATGCCAAGTCATCGCCTCCCTCGACGAGCTATGTTAGCGGATATAGGGTCAGGCTGGAAAAAAGCTAGCGGCGGTCAAACAAAAACTTGGCATCAGTCAATGAAATCCACAACAGTTGGTCTAAGCCACGTAGGAAGGTGTAGACTTCCAGGCTGGGGTCCTCGGGACGGCAAAAATCTATGGTTGGAAACAATTGGTGACATGGCTCAAAATCGTTCTCAGTGGCGCAGATGCATCCACTCCCTGTGACTTATGATCTTCAATGAAACTGTTTTGTATTTATTTATTACTCCTTTGTCTCACACCTCTGCTCACTGTTTCTATTATGCTTTTCTTGTACTTTCTTCTCTTGCTTCGCGTGCTACACGGAGTGTGGCGACTTGAACTTCCGCACATTTGTGCAAAGTTCTATGTCGAAAACAGACAGACAGACAGACATATACAGCACAGAGAGGAAATGAGGAAAATAACATACGAAGATTAAAAATACACCTTTTAAGTCATTGTACTTACATCAGAATGTTTCTCTGGGACTTCAAGAGCTTTAAATTCTTCCACATCAGCAGTAGCTGTAGCTGGACAATCGTTCTCGACTGCTGAAGATAAAAAACCGGAATGCTCCACCTAGCGAAATATAAAATGATGAGAGCACATTAGTATTAAGACTGCTTAAAAGTGATTAAATGAACCTCAAAACTATTCCACATAAATCAGTGGGAACTGATGAATTTAAAAAGTCTTCAGTTAACAATTTTGGAGTAACATCCTATTTAATGCTTTCATATTTACACATGAAAAATAATACTTTCACTTCAAGAAAAATGGAGCACTTTTGGAAAAAGCAGATTGTTATGATAACAGTTATGTGCGTGAGGATATGGCTTATTGACTTAAGCTCATGACTTTCAGTTAGGTGGTCTGGGTTCGAATCCTGCTCCACTTGTTTCAGCCTGAGCAACTGCGTAGTAGGATTAGCCTTCACACAAAAGCTTTCTGGCTTATAGCCTGATACATGAAACATCTACTCAGACTAGATTAGTTCCAACAAGTGTATTTTTTTTGTATAGGATTTTGTAAAACAACCCATAGCCATACACACTGATTTAAAGATGTTTCATTTCTAACATAAGTATTTTAGTTTAAGATTATTTAACGATTATCTACACTTTACCCTAAACTAACATGTTGATTTAGGTGCCGATATGAATACACGGACTAGCATTGTTGTGCAACAGGCTAAATTACCACACCTTAGACATAATGTGAGGGTAGGAATTGGCAGGAATGATACTATCCGGGTTGCAAAAGAGGTGCGATAAAAAGCAGTGATTCTATACTGCAAGGATGAGAGTGAAAAATTCCAAAGAACACTGCATATCTCCTAGATTTCAAGCGCTTATTTAGGTTATTTCACTGAATACACCTGGTGAACTGACATTGACAGGAGACGAAAAACGCATCGCTAAACCCCCAATGTATTGATTGTCTACGGGTGCTTAATGCCTTCTGAAAGCGTGTCTTTCATGATTATGCTGCTTCAATACTCCAAGTTGACTTTTAGATTTTGTGGAGTGGTCAACATTTTGAGAAGGTATCGTTTTTATCCAGTCATTATGTGCAGTAGTGAAGTACTTTATTCCACCCATCAGAATTTTATTATTCAAAAACGATTTCTCAACTAGAAAACGCATAAGGCTATTACGCTGAGTATGATACACAAATATAAACATACTGCTCCATTATGCCTGTATTTTAACGCTTTATTTTCTCGAGAAACGATAGTGAATTCGACTAGGAAGTGTCGCAGTGTCTCCAAAGTATTTGACTGATGTTGCGAGTAATGGAGCAGTCCTTGAACAGGGTATTCAGAATTAACAGTCAAACAATCTTGACAGTATGGGGAAACATTGTTCACTATCATCAAAACTTGTACTATTTGTATCAATCGCAATTAAACTCCAAGCTTACTATAATACTGAATTGAATTTCACTAATTATGGAATAATCCAACATCCTATGGTGAGTAAAGTCTGAATCTGTTCTGAAATGGATTCTTTAATGGCAAATACTAGAACTCAATGCCAGCTTTCAGAATGACTGGCACTAATTCAGCACCGTGTTGTTTTTCTAGGCATTTTCAGGAGTAGATCAGAACCTACTGGGTTCGCTTATCAGAGTTGTTCCAGCTCTCGCAGAACATATTAAGCACTGACTAGCGTCACTTCAGAATGAAAAGACTTAATTCAGCACCCGGCTAACTTTTTAAGCACGACCAGCGTAATTTTTCAGATTACAGTGGGTGGATAAAATCTGCATTTACCAAAAAAGGCATTATCGACGAAAAGGTTAGAACAAGTTTTGAATTGTTGTAAGCTTAAGCTACGACAACAGGCACGTTTGTCCGTGACATCCTCATCCTATGTTTGTTGATATCGTTTGTGCCTCCGGAAGTGTGGTGCGAGGCTTCATCTTCATTTACCTGCCTTGTCAGATAAGTGAGCATAAACACTTATAGTTGGGGTTATGCATAACCCTTCTGTTTCCACGGAAACAGAAGTATACTTCGCCTCATGAAGCAACAGAAGTTAGCCGCAGACGGAGAGCATGGCTAAGGAGTTCTCATATGAGCAGAAATAATTACAGGGCTAAAATGTGATATCGTACAGATACACAAATTTGTTTACCTGTTAACACTCAACAACCTGATTGAGTTAGCTCACAGGCGGTGTTATGTACAGTAAAAAGATTCGAAAAGGATGAATCTGTTTATAACATAGCGAAAACAAGCCTGACATCGAAAATACTACGTAAAACTTATCAATAAGTACAAATACTTTCAAAACATTAATGAGAATTCAAACATCCCACCATCTGTCGGAAAACAAATCATGCGCTTCCTTCTTAAATTACCACTTTTAGCAAAGTAAAACGATAATACAAACAACTTAGTAAGAGTACATAAGTGGAACTCACATGCATCACTGTCTTCCCTGATGCTAAAATACTAACTCTCATCTTCGTCATAAAGTAAAATTTTCATATAAGTAACCGCTTTTATACTTCGACTCGACAGGTGTTTGAGTCAAATGGGGATGAAGAGTTTAAGGTTAAGCTGAATACAAATTGGTAGGTGAGTATCTAGAACAGTTCCTTCAGATTGGTGTAAACAATTCAGATTTGAGCGAGACAAGACTGATTTTGCGGTGATAATCGAAGAAGGATTAGCCGAATGGGCGTAATAACTAAAGCCTTAAGTTGTATCAACTCTCGGGATAGGATAGAGGCACAAATCAGCTGATTGCTGCAGTTCTAAGGTGTTACCGTGGCGTTGTGTTTTGGCTATTCTACGTTGTTTTTAGTGGTTTTTTCGACAGAAATGGACTTTAAAAAACGCATTTTAACGAAAAAACGTGTAAAAAGTGAGAAAAGTGGTCTTTTTCAATGTTTTTACAAAATGCTCTCTTTTTATGGAATTGACATACTGAGGTGCATAAGAAATGTCAGAATTTGTTGGAAAATGTCAATTATGATATAAAATGCAAAATAACTCCAATTGTTTCAGTGTATTTTACGTAAATGATTAGGAGAGAGTTAAATATCTAGGTAATTATGATTTCATTATGTTTACAAAATTTCACAGTAATAAAGGAAACTGAGTTGGTAATTTCGTCAGATAACGGTGAATAAACAGTCATTTAACTGGTAGGTACTGTGTTTCAAGTTATTTATTTCGCCCATCATTTCCTGACTGAATTTTTGTCATTTTTAATTTGCAGGTTACGGTCTTCAATCCCGCAATCACTCAATACATTTATACATTCCAGTGGGGTTAAAAAGAATAATATTTGTGTGATTGATGAAATATTTGTGATATTATGAATGTATTTGTCGAAATAAACATTGTTTTAAAAATTTTGCACCTTATTCGTACACTAATAATACTTACTGTTTGTCAAGTTGCAAAGTGATGCTAGCGTAGAAGACATAATATTGGTAAAGTGCCATATTTACACCTGGTTGAATTTAGACACGATGGGGGTACTGTTATCGTTTTCGCTAGTAAACCTTAAACAGGCTATATGCACAACAAAAGCCTATCTAATGCGTTACAGTATATTATGATAACAAAGTAATCAATCAAATTTAGTGACGTAATCAGCTAATGCACGAGTCTGAGTGTTAATGTGATCATGTAAGAGCCTATTGATACGAAATGATAGCACAAGAAGAGTAATGCAGTTATCTCTTTATTACGCAATGATTTCCTTTGAGGTAGTGGTGTTAAACGCAACATAAGAATAGCAGACTATTTGTGATAAATAGGATATACGTTGCATAGTGCGCATGAAGTGCCTAGACTACCACTACAAGTCGTGTACGTATAGGACCTATATTTGATAGGTTATGTTTCGTTGTTACACATGTTTGACGGCTACTTTCTTAACAATCGCGAATACCAATATTATACGCAACTGAAACGCTTTACGCAAGGCTTAATGATGCATTGAGGAAATAGTAATACTTTAAGACTGGCGCATTTCACATAAGTATTAATACGTTACCTACCATATTCTCGTTAACTCTGCAATGTCCTCAAAATGATAAGTGAAAGAGACAAAGTTAGTTGACATAAATGCATATATTTCTAAGGAAAAAATAATCAATCAAGTTAAAAATGGCTCAGAATGAAAGAGTACATATCTACACTAAAGAGAGTTAATAACAATCCAGTGAAAAAATCGCAGTTGTAGAGCATTTTTATAGCTGCATCATAGTCATCACAAAGTCCACCAAACACTCTATCCACGACATCTGTATCAGTTTGCCCCCGTTGTTAGTGGTGTTGAACCAGTCTTTGCAGTTTTCGTCACCACCAGATCCGTTCGCAGATCTCTGCTTGCAAGCAGAGGTTGAGATTGTATTCCTTCGAATGCCTTCACCCATATAGAGAAAAATCTGAGGATGTATACATATCAGGTAAATTAATCTTACCTCTGGTGAACAATTCCTAATCTTAGCCACACTGAATATGTGAACAAAGCAAGGAACAACCACAGAGTTGGTGAAATTCTATAGATTAGTCGTCCATATATTCCACGATATATTTCAGGAATTGTGTAACTTCCAAACCACTTGTCACATTTTCTCTTCTATAAAAAGCAAATATTATACACGTGACTCCTATCCATCCGTTACAATTAACTAAAAGAGATAAAATCTTCAAACTTTATACTTCTTCGATTAAGTTACTCAGTAATATTCTCCTTGCAAGTGGATCTAATGCTTCTCATATCTGTGAAATTTATAAGCATATTAATTTCGTCCCTTAGGCTAGAAAATATAATGTCTATCCGCTTTTATTATTGCTATTCCAAAGCCCGCTTCAGTAACGTAAGGCACGTATTAGCCGCAACGTTTACGCCAAGGAAAATCTACCAATCACACCTTGCGTAAGTGACCTTCAAGTGCTCAGCCTCTCCATAAGCCATTTGTGCCGCTATCCTTTCTCTCAACTCTCACTGAACACACATAAAACTAATTGATATAGGCATATTATACGTCTAAAGGAACTAGATTCACATATGTCTGTGAATATTTACTACTGTACTATTGAACATTGCTTGTCGATTTTTACGCAGTTATATGCCTTTTTGGGCGTTTCGGGCTTTTCAAAATTCGGTTTCATTAATGTTTTCCCTTGTGCTTCTCGATACACAGTTGTTCATCTTTGACCGTGTACAACGTTACCACATCACTGAACACGAAAAAGTGGATGCATTATAGTATTTCAATTGGAATTATATATAATGCACTGTAGGTCCCACTGTTGAACAGAGATTACGTGGGGCTCAGGTAAAAAAGACCATCAAGAGAATGAGTCAACTATATCTCCATATTAGACAGTGAAAAACTTGACGCGTCCATCGCTTGTCACATTTCTTGAAATGAAAAACATATTTAACTTCATTGGTTCAGAATTAATGTCTCAGCGTTTCTGCGGATTCCTGAGAAATAGTCTTGTACTAACCATTTTCTTATTTTTGATTACAGCTTGATTCCACACTGTATTTTTGGCACAAATATGGAATTTTCAGAATGTGATATTGGTAGCCCAAACTTTGCAGGCCGACCATAGATATCAGGAGTGCGCGTCGGTAGAGACTCGAACCCCGGATCATGTGCATGGTCGGCGAGAGTCCTAACCACTGTGCCACCGACGCAATCCACTCAAAGATAAGGAACCGTAGAACATGTTGAGACAGCTTTGTCTTAGGTGACGACAAATAGTGGTGCTATCCTGGCTTTCTGAATGTCACTATTATTACTTGATGTCATCATAGGCATATTGATGGATGCAATCCAGAGTAACATTATTGTCTCATGGATCAAAATTGGATCAATGGGACTTCAGCCTACTCACCCTCATTGATCAGTTAACTTAACTGTGCAGATTGGAACTCATGGTGAATCAAATTTGGTATTGGCTCATTCTTTTTTGCCTTGTATTATCATCCAATAATCCCCCCAAATAAAATTGATGTTATGAAACATATCCATTCTAGTCTCTGCTTTTTATCTTCAATATATATATATATATATACATCAAATGTTTTGGATTCTGCCTTGACGAACTGCGCTTGAAGAACTGTAGGACTTACAGCAGTACGCCCACATTCCTTCTCAGGTTGACGATCCAACAGGAGAATGGTTCGAACACAAACATAATTAACCAACAGATAGATGAGAGATGATACCTATTCAGGATGTACAACATGAACATATGTACAAAGTAACACTCTAAGCACGTTGGACTGCGCACCGGCGTACTACCCTTGAAGAAATGTAAGACATACAGCAGTACGCCTACAACCTTTCTCTGGTTGACACCTTAGGTTGGAAAATCGTCGCATAGTTCATTTGCTGACGGGCGCGCTCCTTGGATACGACCAGTTTTTTCTTTACCAACCAGAAAATGCCAATTTTGTGAATTATTCGTTTGGGAAACCTGATCTCCCTAGCCGGTGAATTAAATTCAACCATTAATTACATAATAAATCTCTGTGTGGTAAGTCCAGCTGTCTCGAACTACTGCCAAAGCTTCAGGTGCTACTTTTGTAGCAGCATCTTCCTCATTCGTTCAGATAAACAAGAGTTGTCGGTCTAGCACGTGATTGCTGTGAAGCCGATCGTCCAGATAGTACTAGGTAAAGTCGAAACCTTATCTTTTCCTTGTCTTGTACTTTTTCAGTCCTATTCCTGTTCTTTTGCGTAGATACTTGCTTTCTTATTCGTTCATCGCACAAGTCATACTGATTGTTAATGTGGTTGTCGACGGTAGCCTTAGAAAAGCCACTAAAACACCATACTCTGTAGTCACAAGGGCTTCAACCAGAGAAGGAAAAAACCCAGGGACTTCAACCCCTTCCCGCATACCGATCCTAAAGACTCGTGTAGCTTTCGTCTGTACTGATACTACGCCTGCATTGCCACAGTCTAGTACTGAAACGGCACGGGCAATACCAGGGGGACGGGATACTACACCTGCATCAACTGAAGGCCAGTGTGTGAATCACAGCAAACCTAAAAGGAAACGTTCCAGACGTCATGAGACCTCGAAGGCGTCATCAAGGAAAGGAGATGAATGTCAGGTGTGTAGTATCATAATTTCTAAAACTGACTCAGCGTTTGAATACAATTTTTGCAAACGATGAGTGCACTGCCGTTGTGACAAGGAGGTACCGAAAGCATAGTACGAGTTTATAAGAAATAATCCATGCCCATGGTTTTGGCACTTTTGTCCAATTTGTCGCCCTGGCATAGTCCCACAAAGCGTGTCTTAGGATAGCAGAAACAAAACGCCGCTCTCGTGT